AAAGGTGATTTGAGTGACTTTGAACGTGGCATGATTGTTGGTGCCAGAAGGGCTGGTCTGAGTATTTCAGAAACTGCTGATCTACTGGGATTTTCACGCACAACCATCTCCAGGGTTTACAGAGAATGGTCCGAAAAAGAAAAAACATCCAGTGAGCGGCAGTTCTGTGGGCGGAAATGCCTTGTTGATGCCAGAGGTCAGAGGAGAATGGCCAGACTGGTTCGAGCTAATAGAAGGGCAACAGTGACTCAAATAAACACCCGTTACAACCAAGGTGGGCAGAAGAGCATCTCTGAACGCACAGTACTTCGAACTTTGAGGCAGATGGGCTACAGCAGCAGAAGACCACACCGGGTGCCACTCCTTTCAGCTAAGAACAGGAAACTGAGGCTACAATTTGCACAAGCTCATCGAAATTGGACAATAGAAGATTGGAAAAACGTTGCCTGGTCTGATGAGTCTCGATTTCTGCTGCGACATTCGGATGGTAGGGTCAGAATTTGGCGTCTACAACATGAAAGCATGGATCCATCCTGCCTTGTATCAAAGGTTCAGGCTGGTGGTGGTGGTGTCATGGGGTGGGGAATATTTTCTTGGCACTCTTTGGGCCCCTCGGTACCAATTGAGCATCGTTGCAACGCCACAGCCTACCTGAGTATTGTTGCTGACCATGTCCATCCCTTTATGACCACAATGTACCCAACTTCTGATGGCTACTTTCAGCAGGATAATGCACCATGTCATAAAGCTGGAATCATCTCAGACTGGTTTCTTGAACATGACAATGAGTTCACTGTTCTCAAATGGCCTCAACAGTCACCAGATCTCAATCCAATAGAGCATCTTTGGGATGTGGTGGAACGGGAGATTCGCATCATGGATGTGCAGCCGACAAATCTGCGGCAACTGTGTGATGCCATCATGTCAATATGGACCAAACTCCCTGAGTAATGCTTCCAGCACCTTGTCGAATCTATGCCACGAAGAATTGAGGCAGTTCTGAAGGCAAAAGGGGGTCCAACCCGTTACTAGCATGGGGTACCTAATAAAGTGGCCGGTGAGTGTATATCAAATAGGCAAATCACATTGCATAGTCATTATGAAGTCAATGAAGTCTCTAAATTGTGTAATATAACATATAATACAAATCCATCACAATAAAACGAATGTTTAAATGGAGCTTAATAATAGTTAAGTTCCAAAAGTGCTAAACTGATGATGTACATGTAATATATATGTATTGATGACATTATTGGTGTTATGACATATTACACATAATTTCAAAATTTTACATTAAGACTGAATTACAAGTACATGTCTGTTAATGCTATAGCATTTTCCTCTTTGAAAATTGTGCTTGAATGATGTCATAAACTTTTATGCTCTGTCCAGGCTCAGATTTGTCATCTGTGATACCAGCTGGTCCTAACTTCAGCGTGCGGTCCTCCTTAAATCATACCGGCCCAAACACTTATTCTCCAGCCGAAACTCCTACCTGTGACAATAAATAACTCAAGCAGCTCAAGAAGTAATATGTTAACTACCTAAATGATGCATGCAGTATATATAGCCGTTCCTTGTCCTATTTCTTCAAACTGTATGTTGGGAGCTGGAGAAGTACCACCTTCCTCCAGCAGAGTCCGCCGTGGATCCTCCTGAGCCGAGCCTTCGACGCACCTGTGGCTCGTTCCATCATCAGAGGATCCACAGTATAAAAGCTGTCTTCAGACCTTGCCTCGACGCCGCAGTGTTGAATCTAGTTGGAAACCAGTTTTCTCTGTGAGCTCTGGATGAGCTTAGACTGCCGAGCCTGCCCTCTGAGCCAAACCCGAAGACTCTTCTCTGGATTTCCCATGCAGCTCTGGATAAAGAGCTGGAAACCCAAAGCCAAGGTCTGCACCCTCATCAGAAGTAAGACGCTGAAGCAGTTATTGGACTCTGCTGAAACAAACCTTCTCTGGACCCAACAGCTCCTCTCTCTGAGTTCAAACCGGAACGCTAAAGGTATAAATCTGAACATCACAAAACCAAACCCCATTGCTCTCAAAGCTAACTACTCTGTTATCTACACAGACTCCAGTGTGAACCAGTCCCCAGGCCTGAACCAGTTCCAGACTATATTCCTTGTGCTTGTGAACAATAAACATTGTTAAACTTTTTACTCTTGTTTCCGTGGTGTTCTGCATAACTGGGTCTCATCAGTGAACCCATCATGACACTGTAAAATCCTTGTAACTGGCTAAAACATAATAAAACCAAAATGGTTTCTTTAAACCAAACTACGATGTTCCTCTTATATTTGGTGAATTTATGTTCGAATATTTTGTAAAAAATATGTTGCGGTGCATGATGGGGTTTTGCGTCTAAAGGCTAATGTTTCCCGTCTTGTGTGCATTTCCAATCTGGCGATTTAGGACGGCCGTCTATGGGTAAAAAATGTTTTTCTTTAGATTCATGGCCTAACAGATCAATAGACTTTGGTTGAAATTGGACGAGATTTTATTTATCCAGGCGATTTATGAAAATTTTTTGGCCTGGAAAACCTGAGTCAGTGACATCTGGCAACCCTGCTGATGTAGTGAGTGTGGATGCTACGCAGCAGCAGTCACCGTGGCGTCCATGTTAATAACCAAAGCCAGTAAATCCACATTATAGAAGTCTTGGTGATGGTTGTCGTGTGATGCTTGAAGATAGATCGGTTAATCCACAATGTGTATTTGTATTGTGTTTCACATTTGAGACGCACGCGTTTGACTGTGCTTCTATTCTTTTTTCGGGGGGTGGTCCATAAGTGGAAAAAAAAAATGCCAGGGCCGAAAATCGTTCCCATTCCGAGCCTTTACATCCAATAATTAGCCTTCAAAAATGTTTGAGTTGCTTTTTTTTTCTGTCAATATAACATGCAATGTATTTCAGCACATTACTTTTTCAAATGAGAAAATACAACAAACAATACATAAGCCACAACATCATCCTCTTAATAAAGAATTACTACATTGACATTTCACGGTCACTCACATTTTCTATTTTCTAACATTAGAAACAATGCCAGTGACTAATTTAGTCAATATTTTAGAGTCAGTCTAAAATAGCCAGACTAATGTTACGCTACATACTATACTATGGGATACATCAGCCTATATGTGGATTTCCTTGGTTATTACATCCCCTGACTGAAATTACCTGTGGAACATCTTCCCACAGCTGCAAACTGCTTGTTTTTGCAGCCAAATGCTAAACATGTAGGCATTTTTACTGCGCATCGCTGTGGAAGTGGGGAGTACCAGCATGGCGGCTGGTGGATTCACCTTTTCCCGGCCAATCAGCAATCCAGTGAATAAATAGAGAATAGTGCTGAAGGGAACATCAAAGTCATTGGAGGAGTGCCTCTAAAAGTATCTGACAAAGGGATTCTAGAAAACATAAGTGGTGCAAAAGTAAAAGAAGTGAAAAGGTTTTAAAAAAAAACAAGAAATGGAGAAAGGTGTGACAGCCTATTGGCATTGATCAAATTTGAAGAAGAGCGTTGACCAAGTGAGGTTTTCCTTGGAAATATGAGCTACAATGTGAAAACGTACTAACCTCCGCCTTTGAAATGTTATAAATGTCAAAAAATATGGTCATATAGCAGCGGTATGTAAGGGCAAACAACGATGTGAAAGGGGAGCTTGGATATGGAAAGTGTGGGAAAGAACTTAAACTTAAATGCTGTAACTGAGGTGGAGAACATACTGCTGCTTATTGCGGCTGTGAAGTGAGCAAAAGATCTGAAGACATCAGAAAAGTGAAATCAGAGCTGGGAATAAGTTATGCTGAAGCTGCAAATAAAATCCCATCCTAGTCAGAAAGACTCAAACCAACAGTAACGAAACGCCAAGTTCAAAACCTCTGGAGGAGTGTCCCAACATAGCAAAAGACTTGTTGATTCTTAAAAATAGGATTTTGTCCTTTTTATAGTAGAAGTTATCATTTTTTTTGCTCAGACAACAAAGACAAAAACTAAATAATAATGAAAGCTGCAGAAAAGTATCTTGAAGTGAAAGATTTAAACTGGGAAACAGTTGAAAGTATGATGGGAAACCATTAGGACCATCAGAAACTGGCAGAGTAACATAAGCATAAAGACAAACTGGTAATTATGAGGATTAATTTGATTATGTATTTCATTTTGGTTCAAACCAAAGTTTGGAAAACTATTATTATTGTTTTATTTTTTTCTGTGGTGAGTGTTGTTTGCCCATTAAACTCCTTATCAGTTGGTGGCGGTAATGCACTTTTACTAGTTTAATCCTGTATGTCCGAATCTTATCCTAGATATAATATCTTCTTCTCTTTTAATTCTATTACATTTTCTTAATTCTCTAACCTTTTTTTGAATACTATAATAAAATCTAGCATTCCCTCCTTTATCCCATTGTCCTTGCCATTTCTTCTTGAAATACATTATAATAATATTCTTTAACTCATTTTTTACTTATGTTAATGTTTAAATCAACATCCTTTTAACGGCACTCATAGCAAAACTATCAGCTAACTCATTACTTATAACACCAATGTGAGCAGGAATCCAGACTAATTTAACAACAGAACCACCATTTCGAATCCTAAAAATTGAGTGAAAAATATCCAGTATAAAATCTTGCCTTGATTCTGAATTAAATTCTAGAATATTTATTAATGCACTACTTGAATCTGAACAAATTAAAACCTTCCTTTCTTTTGTTTCCTCAATCCATTCTAAAGCCATTAAGATAGCCATTAATTCACCTGTATACACTGCCAATTTATCAGTTATTTTTTTATTCCTCATAATATTTAAATCTGGGAGGCCATCTTTGTTTAGCTGTTAAAAAAATTAAAAGCCGCCCTTTGGCTTATTTCTTCTGTTTTGGGAAACCCTAGCCTCCTATAAAAACAGCGCAAGAAGAACGATCGATGTTTCTGCATTCCACTGATGATGTCTACCTCCCTTATCGGAGGGGAACGTTCAGAGCTCGATTGGTCAGGTCTGGCTGTGCTCTCTGTTGTTTTATGGGAGTCGGCTTCCTCCAGATGTTTGACAACTGCTGCCTTTACAGGAGTTGGGGTCCTGTCTGCTCTCAGTGATGTCAGCCCCATAGAGTTAATAGGTAACGTGTCTGTTTTATATTCCTGTTGTTTCATACATGTTTTTCCCTGACTTTTTATCAACCAAGGCAGGTGCAGCTTCCCGGTTAGCTAGCATTAGAAGCTAACTGTATTTAGCCTGTCTAGCAGGCAGCAGCTACTGTAAACCTGGTTAACTTTAGCTTAACCTTGGCTTATAATTAAATATTTAACATTCTCTGTTTCTTTGTCAGAAAAAATGAGCCGTTAAATGAACTTTAAACTGTTTTTAAATGTACCCCATTGTGTAACAAATGTAACGATGTGGCTGAATGGATAAAGTCTGTTTTCGGCACATCTTTAAACCAAGCAGAGCTAATAAATGTCAGCTCCCTCAGCGTGACTCTGACTGAATGACAGGCCGCTGCTTTCCTTTTCCCGTTTTAGGACTTTGTTCAATAATAAAGCTCCGCTCTGTTTTGATCACATGATATCGGGCGGTGATGCCAGTTACTTCTGCTTTCTGTAATCTCTGTCCAAGATGGCTCACATCTCCAACTCCGGCTCTGTTGCCTTTTTTAAAAGGTAGGTCCAGCAGGTTGACTGGGAGCAGGTTTAACTGTTTGTTTGATCGATCAGTGAGGAGGAGGAGAGGCGCAGCATCAGAGCCGCAGTCAGCCGACCGTTAATGAAGCGGCCACCGGTTCCTGTCACGAGTTCGGTTCCTGTGGGGTCCAACAGGGGCCCGTTTAGGCGGTACAGGGAGTTGGAGATGATTATAAGGATGGTTTAAAAACAAAAAGAACAAAATGTTTGGTTAATTTTCCAGAAAAATAATTTTGAGGAAGTGAAAAAAGGCGCAGCGATTCGGGTTTTCCTTTTTTTTCTTCTTCTTCTTATGTCTTGCTCTGAGGAGAAGCTGAGGATCTCTGGAAATTGGTCAACAATACGATTTCCGGTCAGGTTTGAACATTTTCTGTTCATATTGAGAAGCCAATCCCTTTCTGTACCACACTCGGATCATTCTGTGTATTATACAGTAGAACCTGGAACATGACATTAAGTAAAATCCATCTAAAAGTGTGGTCATATACAGGGGCGGATTTAGGAAATGTGGGACCCTAGGCAAAGACAGGCGGGGGGCCCTCTAAGATGAGAAGACGACACATAAAACCGCCCCATTCTACAGATAGAGAAATTTTAATAGAATAGACATCCATTATCTGTTCTAGGTTGTGTCCCTCTCTTCTTGTCCCTTTTCTTCTTGTTTTCCTCTCTATGTTTTGTACTCAGCTGACTTTTCATGCTGTCTCTAAAGGAATGAAAGATTTTTTCCAAGCACTAAGCTCACTTAGCTGATTGCTCCTTCCTGTGTTTCCAAAAAGGCCAAAGTAAATAACCCAGTCCTTCTTTTCACTGTAGACAAGCCATGATCTGCTTATCTGTTCTCCATTTTTCATTTGGATGAAATAATAGCTGCATGAATCATGACAGCAGACAAGCCCTAGGCAACCACCTAGTATTGCCTAATGGTAAACCCCCCCCCTGGATCTGTAGCTGTCTAATACTTGGCTGAGTGTTACTAATAAAGTAACTTTAAAAGTTTTTTGGGCACATCTTCATAGAGAATCTATCAGACTACGAGGATATTTGTAGAAAATGGAGGGTGTTGTATGCTAAAGCTAACACCCTTGCTGGTAAATTTGGTGCATGTACTGATGTAGTCAAAAGTGGACCTATTTAATGTATATTGTGCCTCTCTGTACATCACTCACCTCTGGTCTACATATAAAAAAACAACCTGCAAAGGCTACAGGTGGCCTATGATGATGATACTTTGCAGGTACTTTTTCTAAAGGCCAAGATGGACTACTGCGAGTGACATGTTTAACAAAGCAAGAGTCAATAACTTACACGCTGTTTTGCAAAAGTTAATGTATTATTTATTTATTTTTTTATCTGTAGAGCTGTGGGGACAATTGTCTCCTTAAAGCTCCAAATTGATAATTGGTGTTTTGTTCTTTTTTACTTCTGTTTTATTCTTACTTATTTTATTCATTGGCCCATGAGTCTGGACTAAAGCCTACCTATTCATCAACTCTGATGTGGAAACATAAGTTAGGCCACAGAGCAGCAGGTGAGTCACGACAGGATGAACAACAACTTTACGACACGTAAAGCTGGATTGATCTTAAAATCAAACAACACAAAATAAAGTTCCTGTTTTTTTTTGTTTTCTTTTTTCTTAGGTCAGACGAGAGGACCTCAGGTTATATATAATCTATCTGAAAATTTTTTTTTTTGTCTAAATGACCATTTCAACTAAAAGTCAAGCTGATAAATGTCAGAACGGCCACTTAAAATGTATAAACATCTCTAAATATATAAAACTTAATTCTTACTAGTATCATTTTGTTTGTTTTTTTACTTTCAAAATTCAGTTTCTGTTGCCAAAATGTAATTAAAAAAATATATTATTACAGTTAGGTCTGGGAGTGTGATTTTGATCAGGAACAATCTTATTTCACTGATCTACAAATGAAACAACAGAGAGGAGTGCTTTTAATAAATGTAAAAACGGCCTGCCATAGCCCACTTCATATATACTTAAGCATTAACTCGAGGAACAATCTTCTCCTTCGCCATCTTCCTCTCCTTTGTAGCTGTAGCGCTGGTTCTCCATCTTCTAAACACATTCTCCTTTTTGTTTCATTTCTTCATTAAAATTTGTAGTTCCAGTGGGGTGAAATAGGCACTTCCTGTTGTCATGGTGACTCGGCAAATCAGTGCTGCGCTGATAATGGCTTTTCAAACTTGTTATGCACGTGCTAAACTCTAAGTGTTTCTACTTGGAATTGATAGAACGAATTCATCGAAGAAGTTCCCGACTTAATGCTGGATCATTCAGAGTGGTGGATTTGATCTGAGTTTGTTAAACCTGCTTCTTGAAACGGACCTCTACTCATCTGCAGAGCTCTCTATAGCATGAATGCATACTGGTGAGCTAGTTTGGCCATTTGGTTTATGTATGTAGAGGAAGGGACAAGTCTGAATGCAGGACACCAGAAAAGAGGATTTGGGTTTGACACCACTTATTTAAAATGACCTGGATAGATGAACAGGATGGAGGAAAACGAAGCAGGGTTTTATTTTCTGAAGTCTGGTTTACCCACGTCTCGTTCAAAGTAGAGGACTTTTATGGGTCAAAGCACCAAGTGATTTATTTCAATCCTATATTATATACCCAGGGGTTGACGTTAAGGATTTTTTTGGGCAAGTGACTTTCACATTTTATTTGCCCAGAAACAATTTTTAATTGCCCAGTATAATGTTTGATAAATATAGCTCCTAATATTCATTTTTGTATATATATCAATGAAACATGTTTGTTTTTTAAATGTTTTTTTGTAATTCAGTATTTTTTAAGTTTCCAGGTTCCTGGTGTGTATCTGCATGCGTCAGATAATGAACTCAAGCCTACATTACTGTGTTAACATGCTTTTCAATCCTTCCTGCACATTCTTTTCAGACTAAACTTTGCTTTAAATTGTTGTGTGCTTGGAAAAATATAAATTGTAATAAAAAAAAAAAAAAACTTGACAGGTTAAAAACTTACACTACTACTACTCACCAATTTAACATGTTTAGCTCTATAACATTTAAATGCACCACTCCAATGTCTAAGAGAAAAATGTAATGAACATTTTTTAATGTATGACCACTGTACAGAAGACTGCCATATGATAGAAATATTTACACTGTGCTCATACAGTTATTATTATTATTTTCCTAATCCCTGACTGATAATTTTTAATCTAGTGTGTATTATAGTATAGATTAAATTCATCATCCAGCTGCTGCTCTGCAGAATTCTCTTCCCAAGAGCTGAATCACGCCATCTAGTGGAAAATTGTGTGGCTTTTTCAAATGTGTACAAACAACAAAAATTGTACCGGCAACGCTTGTGGGTCGTTTTCAGCGAATGTCGGTGATTTTAAAGTAATTTTGAGTGATAAATAATTTTCTTTTGCGATCCCGACAATAAAAACGACTTGCCCCGGGAGATCGGGTGATGGTTAATCGAGCCCTGTATACCGTAATGACCTGAATATAGGACGACCCTGATTATAAGATGACCCCCTCTTTCCAGGACCAGTTTTTAGGAACAAAAAAAAAAAGACTCAGATAAACCAAATTTATTTGGTTTAAAGAAACTATTTTATATTGAAGTGCATTGAAAGTTTTGTGCAATTAAATAATAAAAAGTAAAGAAAAAAACAGTAATGACATTTCATTAAAATCTTGCAACACGAATGTTGTTTGAACTTTGCTCATGGAATGTCTCAAAAACCATTTTACTCACAGATCCTCTCTGTGGCTGCCTCGCTGTCCCTCCTACTCTCACCCTGCAGCTCTGCTATTTTTGATACACTTTTCCTATGCTGATTATTGCCTTTATCTGGTCTTTTTGAACATGTTCTGACATTGCACTCTGTAACGCCGTATTTCTTTGCGGCCTGACAGTTGCTTAAAGCCTCTGCTGCGTTGACCAACATTATTTTAAAATCGGCGTCATAACTCCACCTAAAATGTCAGCAAACTTGTCTGACTTTTGATCTACTCCATTCTCTGCAGTGACTCTCTGTTTGTGTCACTTCTTCTCTGCTGTGATGGAACGATGACCCCAGCCACAGTGAGGTCGTTGGCGTTACTCAGAACCGGCGCTCTCTGCTGTTGCGTTTGTGTGCAGACCCCAGACAACTGCCAGCCTGTATACTTGGTTTGACCCCGATTATAAGACGACCCACATTTTCATATTGTTTTTAATGAAAAAAAAAAAAAAAACTTGTCTTATATCTGAGCCAATGCAGTAGTTTGCCATGGCTGCAGCTGGATAAAGTTTGGCGTAGAGAAACTTGACCGGTCGGCGCAGAGTCTGACCTCAACATAATAGAGCATCGTCTCAATCTTAACTACTTTTAGTTTTTAGCTTTCTTTACATATATTCACAATTTTAGTTTCTTTGTTTTTTATATATTCATAAATTTTCCTTTTTTGATATCGATTACACAAGGATAATATCCTCTTATAATCGAAAGGGTGGACTGTTGTCGGAAAATTTTGATTTCTTTTCTACTATATATTAATTTATACCATTTACTCCATTCCCTGCAGGATGGTGTTTGTAGACCAGACGTAGCTTCTTCCCATAACAAACCAGATTCTTTCTCAAGGTTTATTCATAACTTATTACTGTTAACCAAAGTGTCTGTAATTTGTTTTTACTCTGAATACTTTTGCAGTGTTGTAAGTAAGGGGGAACGAACGCTGCTCATGCAGAACAGAGCAGAATGCTGTGGCATTAGGGCTGTATGATGACTTTTCTCTCTTTGCAAAGATATGAATAAATGTGCCGACTGAGTGAAATTCATTGATCTTATTTAACTAGGATCAATAGTTGAATACTTTTTTCCCACGACAGTCTCACATCTATGATCATCCTGAGGAGGATGTGTAGTTGAGGTCGTTATTGTTGGGAGCTGGGATCCATCACCCAATGGAAGAACCTGTCTTTGCATTGTGACTGTATTCCTGTATTCTTCCTCCGTAGCCCAAGTAGCAGCAACATGGCTGCTGATGACAAATCCTCGTCGTCTTCCTCAGCCGAGTGGAACATTGAGCCGCCTGCCTCCTCTCCCGCCAGCCCCTCCCACCTAACCCACTTCAAACCGCTCACTCCGGAGCAGGATGAGCCTCCGCTCCGCCCTATTTACAGCTCTCTAGTCAACCTGTTTCGCTTCAGCAGCAAAGGTAACGTTTTACGAGCTGTTTTTAAATGCTTTACAGCCATGGATCTCTGCACTGTTAAAGGAAAAGTCCGGTCAGCGAGGAATAATCAATGGATCATTATCTATACCTAAAAGTAATACGTTTGTGGTGGTTAAATTAATTTAGCTTTAATCATTAAAAAACTAAAAATGATAACTTTCACCTCCCTCCTGCCATCTTCCAGCAGTGACGTCACGGTGCGGTTAGCCTAGCGCCATTCTCCCCGCTTTACAAGCAAAATCAGTGGGAACTACTAGACACATCTGCAATCAACAACAATTATTGAAGATTTCCAGAGGACTTCACCATTGAAATTCACCAGAGCTATAGTGAAACTGACAATGCCCACGTGCATGGCAGCTGGATGCTGGAATATATCGGGTAAAATTAGTTATTTCACCTTTCCGATTCCTGATCCTCCACGGACGGGTTGGTCGTTGGATCGCCAACTTGAAGAGGGAGGATTTGCCATCGAACTTCTTGCCAGAGAAAAAACCCGTAATATGTAGCCAATATTTGGAAGAAGAATGTTTTCAAGATGACTTGGATAATAGCGCGTTGTGACAAACACCAGATACAGCACTGGGACTTGATCAACAGCCGATACCGCACCGTGACGTCACAAACCGGTAGGTGGCAGTAGTGTTCTTTGACAAACATGGATGCCTCCAGTAAAGCACATTCACATGAAAATTACTCTGAATTAAAAACACTTATCATTTGTTGAACATTTTGTAATAATCTCATATTTAAAGTAATTTCTGAAGTTAGTATTCTGAACGTGACCGGACTTTTTATTTAATTTTAAGAAAGTATATAAAGAACCAGAGTGTGGGTGCTGCTCCTGTATGTGGTGGGCAAAAAAGAAGTGAAACACGAAGGGAAGTGCTCAGTTTGTGCAAATAAGTGTAGAAAATGATGCACTTTATGTATGAGTTTACACCATTACCTGGCCACGTTAGTTGGCATGTCCTCGCAGCGGATGAGTTCTGCTTTGCCGCCTGTTCTCACTGCCAGTCGGAGGCGGAGTCTCTTTGTGTTTTTCAAGGTAAAATCATAAGTAAACAGCTGATAAAGGTAGCAGCAGTTAGTGAGAGTTTAATGATTGTCTTTTCACCTTAGCTAAATTACTAGTTATCTGCTCTGATATTAGCCTGTTAGCCACTTCAAAGACACTCTGCTTTGGTAAGACCAGAGATATTTCAAAAAATGTGCTGGGTGGAGCTTATTCATAGCTGTTTTATTTTCCAAATAGTCAAATATGTGATTGTTATAAGCCGGTAGCGCTGTTTGGGCCAGCTGAGTGGCAGTGTGCAGCAAAGGGAATGTAGGCAAGGCAACGCAAATTTACTTGTATAGCACAATTCAGTACAAAGATAATGCAAAGTGGTTTACATGATTAAAATATAGGAAAATAAAACAGAATCAAAGCAAGTAGGAAAAAATAAGAAAATAAATAAATAAAGAGGCAAAGGATAATCTGTCCCAGTCGACCTAACACAACCTGTCAATCCTTCCTTTATCTCAGTGACCACCATTCGTCCCAAAGCGAAACCGCCCTGCCACAGCAACTTGCCAGAGTAGAAATAAGAATGTTTTTGTTCTTTGCTTCTTTGGAGCCATGAAGACTGATTGATTGGTCTGTGTCTAATGCATAAATCATAATAGATGAGGAAGTGTTTGCTTTGGGATGGAAACCTTATATGTCTGAAACCATTCCTTTAGTCTACATTTATTAGCTTGTCTGTCTCCTATATTAATCACTATGATATATGTTGAAGTAGATCTGCAATTTTCACAACTTTCATAAGACACTTTTTCATAAAGTAGAACATTAATTCATTAAAAAAGTTTATTTAAATTCTATAAATCAAAGTTTTCTGCCCAACAGCGATGATGAACTGCATGGCAGCATTCTATACACAGTGATTGTAGCATCTAGGCAAGAGCTGTAAGTCTAGGAAAGAATCTGGTTGTTATTTGAAATTATAAAGTTTAACTTTTTTTATGAAACGCAGCTTAAAACTAGACAAAAACTCTTACATATAATGATTAAAATGTGACTAAAACTAATAGTTTTCATGCTGAACACGAAAACTAAGACTAAATCTAAGATGGCTGTTAAAAAAACACTGGTAGAGATATAAACATAGAATATATAGAGAAATGTGAAGAAAGGTAGAGATATAGACATAGAATAGATTAACTGAAAGCGGTGAGCCTTTGACTTCTCTGGAGTTGGATCTGCAAATCCTTCAACCCAAAATGGATGATTACAGAAACATTTTGAGCTTAGTAACAATATTTATTTGTTTTTTAAAGCCTTTTTGTCCTAAATGAATATATTTTAGTTCAACAATATCAAGAACAAAAGAATATTTGCTCTACGGTCAGGTCTGATTGCTCTCTGGATGCATGTGTCCTTTGCGCTCAGAAGAGGGCCGTCCTGCTGCCATGGTTTCAGAGAAGCCGGACGGCCTGCCCCCCCGCCGGCAGTCAGAGAGGCGGAGCCTGTCCTCCAGTCCTTCCCATTCCGTCTACAACTCCAGGACACACCGGAAGCAGCATCCTGACAGCCTCAGGCGCACGTCCACCGTCTCTGGTAAAAAAAAACACTCCACACACAACAATCCGGTTGGTTTTATGTTTTCTATGGTTCATAAGAACAGAACTCTTCTTCTGCTGCAGGAAAATGTTCGGAAATGATTTCAAGGGTTAAGTTTCTTTGTGCTGCAAAGTTTGCTCCTGCTTCCTTGGATATTCTATGATTTTCTCTTTGCTAAGTAGAAGTAAAATGCCTGATGTGATTGAATCTTTTTTCTTGTCACACTTATTGATTGATTTAGTTTAACTTTAACGCTGCTGGTCTTTCTGCCTCTCTCCCCGCATGGATGAACTAATCACTGATTAACTCTCCATGTCTGTATTCTTTGACTCTTGCAGTAGATCTGCTTTACAGGCGCATGTTTATCTCCCATGCAATCATATTGAAGATCGTTTTTCTCATTCTGTGTATACCTTACATTTTCGAAAACTCTTAGAAATATTTTTGCCAACTAAAAATATATAGTGTGAAATTTTTACCTTGGCTTTTTGCAGTAACACAGTTAAGGTAATTAACCCAGAGTTCAATTCATTTTATTTCTATAGCGCCAATTCACACGTCACACGTCATCTCAAGGAGCTTTACAGTTCACCAGATCATCCAGTCGGATTGATTCAAAGTTTTCCATCTAAGGAAAACCAGTTGATTGCATCGACTCATTGATTCAAAGGCAATCCTTCACACTAAGCATGCTTGTAGCGACAGTGGAGAAGAAAAACACCCTTTTAACAGAAAGAAACCTCCAGCAGAACCAGGCTCAGTGTGAGCGGCCATCTGCTGAGGCCCACTGGGGTTCAAGGAGACAGAAGCAGACATAGAAAGAGAAGCATAGATACAAAAGGCAACTTTAAAAGGCGGACCCATCCAGGAAACACACAGCTTCCATATCAGAGGATGAAGAGAGCAAATCCAGTTAGTCACAGTCAGAGAAACAGGACTACACTGAAAAACAGAGACAGAACCAGAGACATCTTTGAAAGGAAGCTCAGAATGTAAGAAGCTCTTTGAAATAAAACTGTTTTTATGACCTGTCTCATTTAGGCTAGGGGAAGTGAATTGGGGGTGGGGGGGGTGGTTGGGGCAGAACCTGTTGGCTGCCACTTGTAATCTCTAAGGTAATGACAGAAATCCCTTGGCAGCTTACACAGACTCCTGTTCTAGAAATGCTAACCGTGCTAATTGCTATTATAAGATGCCAAAAACAGGTAAAAGGGAAACTGGAATCAGTTCAATTCTGTCTGTAAGTAAGAGCTTTAAAACAACACAGAGATATAATCAGTAGTCCTTTAACAAGACTTGATAAACCTGCAGAAACATCTGCTAGCACTTGCAGGTCCTCTTCCATATTGGTGTAAATGCTGGTTGGACTTTTCTTTGCCAGCTACCTAAAAAGGTTTGTTCTCCCCAGCTTAGAGCCCCGTTCTGTTAACATAAGCTTCTCATGTCCAACTGGCCCAGAAGCAGCAGGACATAGAAGACCTCCTTTCTCTGTCCCTGCAGATCAGCCAGTGGACATCAATTCACTGCTTTTACTCACGTTTCTTTTACTTTTGCTACTTTAGGATCTTCTCGCAGTTGCTGCATGTTTTTCATTTCTTTTTCCTTTGCCTTGATGCTTTGCCTTCTCACCTCTAAATAGAGTCCTGCAGCTCCTGCTCCACTGTAGCTACTACTGGATGACCGTTCTGTTCCTGTGAATATTAATCCCACCGTCCGTCAGCTTCTGTCAGCTTCCATCCACCTGGAAGCCTGGCAGAGTAAAACCTCTGTGGCTGGTTCTGCAGTTTGCACTTCTGTGCGACTCCAAGCTAGGAGCTTTGCTCAGGGCCGTCTCACACCTTGCCGATTTAGCCAGCAAATGCCTGACGTCTCAGAATCTCTTGAAACGCTGGCATATGCCATGTATTTCCATGTATTTTTTTTCAATTTTGGGTGTATGCATAGAGTATTAATTTCAATTCCAGAACTTTTGTCCAATGACAGCCTAACTTAAGATTTGGGTTTATCCCTTTAGTTTTGTAACCTGACTCCGCCAGATGGATTTGCTCCGCATATCCATCTGGAAACCTTCCGTTGAAGTAATTTTGGGAAGGGGCGAAAATACTGGTTAGCTGATTGGCCTATGTTGGTGATAGACGGGCCAATCAGATCAACGAAGCATATGACGTACTAACAGAGCGACGACGAAAACACAACCACAACCCAGGCTACTCTTGCTAAAACTAGTCGGGAGAAGAGCAAAAACATCTTTTCCTCTGAGAAAAGCCTCCAGAGCAGTGTTTTGCTCTTCTTTCAGTGAAGAAATACTCTGTAATTCCAATAAAACTTGCTCGATAGCCACGCTAACGCTAGTTTCATTGGCTGAAGCCGCCATGTTCTTTAGACTGAACTGTCGCGCTTCTCGTTGCGTCACACCTCAACCCGCCTCAAAGCCAACGCTGATTGGACGTTCGTTTGGTGAACTGCTCCAAATTTTCTTTAACGGAAAGTAGCCAGACTCAGATCGATCAGGATGGTCTCATGAGGCTATTAGTTTTGTACAAAAAATAGACTTTAAACTACACCAACGGGCGTTTATCCCTTTAGTCATGTACAAAAAAAAACAATTAAAGGTCAGATCACCATACGCTTCAAAAAACACCAAAAAGTAAGTCATTAAATAGATTTTTTTGTACATGACTAAAGTGATAAACGCCCGTTTAAATCTATTTTACAGCTGCTTTTTGTGTCTCTGCTTCTGTCTCCTTGAACCCCAGTCGGCCTCAGCAGATGGCCGCTCACACTGAACCTGGTTCTGCTGGAGGTTTCTTCCTGTTAAAAGGGAGTTTTTCCTCTCCACTGTTGCTACAAGCACGCTTAGTGTGAGGGATTGTATTTGAGTCAATGAGTCAATGCAATCAACTGGTTTTCCTTAGATAGAAAACTTTGTATCAATTTGACTGTATGATCTGGTTGAACTGTAAAGTGCCTTGAGATGACATGTGTTGTGAATTGACGCTATATAAATAAACTGAATTGAATTGAAATTGAATTTTTCATACAAAACTAAACAGGTATCGACTATAGGTATGCTGGCCTTACTAGGTATACTCATCTGACAGAACACCGGCATGCTTAACAAGATTTCTTTGATCGCGGTATTAAAGCTACAGTGTGTAATAATTACAGGGATATACACAGTCAGAAATGTAATATATTATACATAACTATGTTATTTATCATCATCTACGAGCTCAGCCTCTTAACCTTAATATTTGCGTTGCCTTAGAATTCGTTATTTATAATTACATAGGAGCGGGTCTCGCAGCCATGGAGGCAGACATCTTTGCGCTACGGCAGCGCAGAGCCAACAAACTAGCGATTGCGAGATCGCCCATTACGCTCGAAAGTAACTACGGCAAGTTGAGAGAGATGAACTGAGACGGTACTGAACAATAGATGGCAGTATTAAAATTATCTATGTAAACAAACCTCATCACTTGAGAAGGTAGGTGATGCAGACGTCGTGGAAGACATTTTGTCCCGTAACGCTCGCCGTAGTGTTGGGGGGGGGGAGAAGCGGTGGGGGGGAGATGTTCATGTTGCTGCGGTCTGCAGTCTGGAAGTTAGATGTCGCTGAAAATTACACACTGTAGCTTTAACCTAGCTGCTGTTTACCGCCCACCAAAAGAAAGAAAGAAAGAAAGGTTTGCAGTCGCAGCAGATTGAGCTTCATGTCTGCTAGGAAGTTTGTTGGTGGTGGGCGTGAACGCAGGGAGGATCCTTCTGACTCACCCTATAATGGGGATGAAGTCTGGAGGAGAACTGATAGTTTCCTCCTGTGAACCCCCTTTATACCAAAACGCTGCCAATACGCCATTATACAGTAGCTGGAAGTTAGAAACACGTTCAGCGCTCGTCTGGAACACGTCAGATACCTTGATATGTGTTGGAGAGAAGTTCTGGATAAGTTACGCAGAAGTTATGCACAAGTTACTCAGAGGTTTAGGATAAACTAGACACAAAGACTTATGAGTAACTGACACTTAACATATGTCAAAGATCAGATCATTTACCTGAAACTTATGGCCCACGTATGAGCATTCGCTGGCATACGTCAGGAAATTTTGAGCATGACCCAGATTCTTCAACCTCCTTGTCGTATGTTGACGTGTTCCAGCGTACTTGAGCGTGTTCAAAACGTAGCCATAACTTATCCAACGTATGCCAGCGTTTTGGCCAGATTTTTCGTACGTCAGGCAAACGCCCGGTCTAAATCTTTAAGGTGTGACAGGGGCTTCAGCGGTGGGACGATGAGCAATGGCTGCATCACCCAGTTTTTAAAGAAATATAACGGTAGAGGTTCAGGCTCTAACATCTTGTGGCTTTTTTTTTTCTTTTTTTAGCAGTGGATTGGCCAGGTGAGGGTCCTCTGCACTGTGTGGATTTACTAAGTTTATTTTTTTGGGCTCCTGACCTGCTGAGAGGATTCCTCAGACTGTTTAGTGTGTCTGAGTGCATGCTTGTGTGCTCCTAAAAAAAAAAAAAAATAGCTCTCTCTACTTGTTTGGTTTGCCTTAAAGTTTCAACCAGGAACTAATAATTGCATTGTGGATTGTTGTGATTTTAAACCTAACAGTTTATTTTTTTTCAACATGCTTATCCAGTTTGCTTGCTTTCATTTTTATTTTCTCACCAGGTATCAACGTGCATAGTCAACTATTTTCTTCTAATTTCCTGAAAGTTGCCAATAATAATGCTAATTTCTTCCAATGCATCATATATCCTATCTTTAGAGGAAGCTTTTAATCTTCTTGCAGTGATTTCTGAATTGCGTGCTTGCAGATGGCAGCAGGAAGTCGGATGCGTCTCTGAGCAGCCACGATCCTCGCACTGCTGTACAGCTGCGCACCGCACTGCAGAGGCTGAAGGAAATCATGGAGGGAAAGAGTCAGGTACTGAACCCAACAGGAACACCTGATGCTCAGGGCTCCTGCTAACAGTTTTTCCCTTTTTCAAATGTTACCCAAAAATCTCGCTATTTGCTTTGATGTGTCTCAAATGATGCAAATGAAATTGGAAAGAAAAAAGCGCTGACAGAGGGGAACCATCCCAGCATCAATGGCCATCGTGGCGGCCTTTAATTTTTAGAACCGCTGTTTAACTAATTTCTGTCTCAGGTTAAAAATTGCATCCAAGGTTTTCTAAAGAAGGAAGCTGGAGCTCAATAATCTCTTTTTCATTCATGAGATGCTGAAGTTGGAGACATTTGTGGGGACGGCTTTTGTCGAGCACCGGTCATTTAAAACGAGGACGTTTGTCATGGCCGCTCGGTTTATTGCTAAAACTTAGCAGCTGAGCAACACACCTACCTGTCTGAGATGAACTTCGTCGCTCATGTAGTCTGGGTGCAGAACACCAGTCTATAAATAACAATAACCACAGATAGACGTTGCAAAAATCGAAATACCAGAGATGTTTTCAAATGTCTTGGCACCGTTATCGAATACATTTTATTACAATATGTATTAATATATCTTTTTCACTCATTGTTTGCTTTCAGGACAGCGATCTGAAGCAGTACTGGATGCCTGACAGCCAGTGTAAGGAGTGCTACGACTGCAATGAGAAGTTCACCACCTTCCGCCGCAGACACCACTGCAGGCTGTGTGGACAGATCTTCTGCAGCCGCTGCTGCAACCAGGAGATCCCCGGAAAGTTCATGGGCTACACAGGTAGACGTCATTCTCCAGAATCTAGTAAAAGGAAATCTCTCATTTGAAATAAACTCCATCTTCCTGTGATGCTGCCGCCTGTCCGGGCAGGAGACCTCCGGGCTTGCACTTACTGTCGGAAGCTAGCGCTGAGCTACGCTCACTCGGCTGACTCTAGCTCCATCGGCGAGGAGCTCAGCGCCTTGTCAGACTCGCCCTGCTCTGTGTGCGTGTTGGAGCCCAGCGAGCCGCGGACGCCGGTCGGAGGCCGCAAAGCCAGCAGGAACATCTTCCTGGAGGAAGACCTGACCTGGCAGAGGTGAACTCGCTGAAAGCCTTCAAGAGGAGACTCAAACTAAATGCTTCATCCTTAAAGTCTAAACTTTAAGGTTTTAAGATAGCCGTTCAATTAGTAATGCCCCTGACCCACTTCCAGTTGTTTGATCTAGCAGAAATTCTGTATGTGCAATTATTTACATCTCTATAGATTAAGTAAAACTGCTCTGAACTAATTGTGGTTTCTGATTTACAGGTGAACCGAGTCTAGTCTGAAATGGTGCAAGATGAAACAACAGGGAGTGGGTCAGGGCCATTAGTTATTGAACGCCCCTTGTAGCTTTATTTTAAACAGAATATCTCTAAAAGGTTCATTATTTAAGGTTATTTCTATTACTGGATGCAGAAAGTATAATCATTTCCTTACTTTCCTTGATGGGCCCATGGCTGGTCCCCTTCAATTCCTTATTAAACATCAATCCTTATACTAAAATATTCTTTCTGCCATGATTTGTGGACATTAAAGTCGTAGTGAAGCGGCTGTTCCAGCTGTCGCATTTCCGAATTCTCCCGAGTGGTGCAAGACTTTACTCGAGTAAATAAAGTGAATGTGATTGGTCGATTATCAAGGGGGCGGGATTGTTGTGGCGGAAGGTTCTGAAGCAAGTTTGGTTGTGGCCGGTTTGTCGGAAGCATCTTGCTAACCAGTTAGCAACTTAGTGCTAGTAGGTTCCCAATGGGAAATTCCATTGGGACCAAGTAGGACTAAATTGGTGACTTAGAAACAACGCTGTCAAGGAACGCTATGGACAGAGGAAACATGCAAGAGGAGGAGAGTTTAGTGTCGGAGGTCGTGGATGAGTCTCCTCCGTCATACATTTTTTATTTAGAGGAGGAAAGCGGGGAGGAAGATGTTGTGGAAGAGGACGCCAGGGCGGCAGAAGCTTGGTTTGGTGTAGAAGGCTTCCAGCCGTACATGTTGGAGCCCTTGCCTCGCAAAGCTGCCAGTTCTGTTAGGATACTTATTTCAACCGTTGCGTATATTAGCTGCGACATATGAATCAAGATTCTATGACTGAAAAAATTTGATTGACAGACTACCGTTTAAATATGATTGGCCGAATTTAGTTGTTCAGCCTGACGTATAACTAACTGGCCTGCATTTTTAAATAGACATTTTCTACATTTTGGGACAATATAATCTGATAAAGAGAACATTTATATACATGTTTTAGCCAGAATGATTTGACATTTAAATATGATTTCCGTATGACTCTAAAGCTGTAGTGGAGCATCTTCTTTTTCTAGAATGATCATTAAAATAAGTGGTCCTCCTTGTCAATCATTGTGGTCATATGTTTATAAGGGATGGGAAGGTTTATGAAAACCGTCCGAACCGTTCGGTTCGGTTCGCGTGTGTTCCATTCGGTTCATGCGCTGCTCCTTTTTCTCATAGGCGAAGCGTTTACACTCCAGAGCAGAAGGTGGCGGTACTGCGACCAAAGCCAACCACCAGTAGTAAACAAGAATAAGAAGAAGCGAAGCAGCGTAACCGGGTGTAGCAGAAAAAAATCAGTTGTTGTGGAGAATTGTGTGGGTATGGCGAGTGGGAAAGAACAGGAGTTGGAAGACGCGCCAGCAGCACTTTATAGGTCTGCTGTATGGGACCACTTTGCATTTAGAGTGACCTACGATGACGGCGGAAAGAAAGTTGTGGATAAAAGTGCAACACGTTTTGTTTATGCTAACAGCAAAACAACAACCAACAATCAACATATACCGAACTGAAAACTGTGACCATGAAACCGTGAACCGAACCGAACCGTGGATTTTGTGAACCGTTCCACCCCTAATGTTTACTTAAGGCTGTCCTACGTGCTAGTCCCCATTTTCACTCACCGGTGCTGAGTCTGACATTACAAGCTTATTTTCCAAAAGAAAATTAGCAAATTTCTTTTGGAAAATAAGCGTATATGAGCAATGCAAACAGCAACATTTAAGCAGAGTGTGCACGAGGACAAATTGGCTTGTGCACGTTTAACAGACGTTCCCTACCGGGAGCAGGCACAGGGTTGTGCATTTGCTTTTTTTTTTTTTTTCTAATGTGGAGCGGGTTGGTCTTCCTCCACTAAACCTTTTTTTAGAAAGTGAAATTGGATTTTTTATATTGATTAGAAATAAATACTTGCAATGAAGCTATAACATATCGTTCACTTTTTGCATCCATTTATAGAAATAAATAAAGTTTTAGGTGAACTTTGAATTTATTTAGATCCTCTCTTATTCAGTCTTGAATAAAAGAGTAATTTTTTTTTAAGATTCACGTCTAAAAACCAACAGTTGGACAGAAAACGTCTAAAATACAGACCTGATAGGTTTTAGAAGGATGTTTTACGAGCTGTTAGGGGCTTTTCTATCAGACCTGTTTTAGATGATGAATCTGTTCTGCATCTCTTTAACCTCTTTCTGTTCCTGTTCTTTTCAGCTGTTACGCTTCCTGTCCACCTTCTCTGTTAACTTTCTTCTCTTTCTTGTTGACATAGAAAAACTCCCATTGGGATGAGAAAGAAGTGAGTGCTGTTGGTTCTTCCTCCTTTTTCCCATCATTTCTGCCTTCTTTAAGGCTGATGCCGTCTGGCTGCTATAGCCTTCTGCTTAGTTTAGACATTAATCATAAAGCAGAGAGAGGAAATAAACCAAACCATGTGTTTGCAGCATGATTCACCAGGAGCCTCAGAACAGCAGCCTCGCCTCGAGACTGTCCACTCTGCAGGAGGATGTGGGGAAGTCACCAGCGAGGAAGAGGTCGGTCACTCTCTGATGTTGTAGCTTCAATTTCTGTCCTTTAACTCATTCTCCTTCAGTCAGCCAAATTAAAGCTCTTATTTCCTGTCCAGATTTATTCAGGTCACCCTCTTTGTTCAGCGTGTCGTTTAACCCCTTAAAGGAATAGTACACCCAAAACATGATTAGCCTTCATTTTCTACTCACCCCCATGCTGAACAACACTCTGGAGTACTTTTTTGATATCTCAAATGCATCTGGAGATCTGGGAGGCTTCTTGCTGTCTGCTGACACTCAAATAATGGAGGTCCATGGCGCCCGAGGCAGAAAGGTCCATAAAAGTCCACAAAAAACATGTCAATATTCCTCCATACTGCTCGTCCAATGTATTCCAAGTGTCCTGAGTGGGTAGCATCCAGAATTTACTCGAAACGAAGTCATTTAGAATGTTTTTAGAGCATAAACAGTAGTGTATAGGATTTCCTAAAAGCGCGTTCACGAGTCTACGGAAACCGCGGCAGACCAAACCAGATGAAAGTGCGCATTCAGCTCGGCAAAGAACTCATGCTCTTCCTCAACACTGAAGTCCTCACACATTTTTCTTTCGTTGTTTCTTTCTTTGCACAGGTAAACAGCACATTTCTACTTCTACGCTTGCATTATCGGCAGAGCAGACGCTGAATGCGCACTTTCATCTGGGTTGGTCTGCCGCGGTTTCCGTAGACTCGTGAACGCGCTTTTAGGAAATCCTATACACTACTGTTTATGCTCTAAAAACATTCTAAATGACTTCGTTTGGAGTAAATTATGGACGCTACCCACTAAGGACACTTGGAATACATTGGACGAGCAGTATGGAGGAATATTGACACGTTTTTTGTGGACTTTTATGGACCTATCTGCCTCGGGCACCATAGACCTCCATTATTTGAATGTCAGCAGACAGCAAGAAGCCTCCCAGATCTCCAGATGCATTTGAGATATCAAAGAAGTACTCCAGAGTGTTGTTCATTATTAGCCTGACGTAGTCCGACTCAATTCTAGTCAGAATGAGTCTGATGCTGCTCCATAGAGCTGTGATTATGGGGCGTGTTTTGAACGAACCAGGAAAAAAAATGCCTCTGCACTCAATTGGATAGACCTACAACCAATAAGAGCAACGGAGTGCGTGACGTATGTTAAGCGAGGCATAGTTGTTGTCCACAAAAATCAAAGCTTGCAGTTGCACGCCTATAATAAGAAGATGAGACTTGATCGCGTTTCTCTGTTCCTCTTTTAAAATTAATTTGCTGTGGATATCTTCTAGAACAGACCTAATAGCAGAATCTACTCACCTAAACTCTCCGGCGGCAGCCATTGTTGTTGTCACCCAAGCGCGCATTGGTCACGTGGTTGATTACGTTACTGTTGGTCATCTGTCCATCATCGTATAAAGCCCGCCCTGACAATTTGATTGGATCGCCTGACAGTGGGCGATAATACTCGCGCTACTATGGAGCAGAGCCAGACCGAACTTCCCGACCTCAAACTTTGTGGGCGGGACTAAGTTCGGAATGGCACCCAGGCTAGTTCAGCATGGGGGTGAGTAGAAAATGAAGGCTAATCATGTTTTGGGTGTACTATTCCTTTAAGCCCAGAGGAGCAAATTCCACCTGAAATTATATGCGTGAATTTAAAAGCAAGTACAGCTCCAAAACTATAAATTGGAAACACAATTGTTTGTATTTATATGACAGAAAGGCATTGAGGAATGTTTTTCAGGTGGAACCACTATTTAAATGTAACCATGTCTGATTTATAGGTGATTAAACAAAGAAAAAATGTAGAATATTTAGCCTCACCATATTTTATTCCAAAATAAACACAGCAAAACGACATGAGAGCCCATTTGAAACTCTGGATGAACCTTCAGACTTTATAGATCCACATCTTGAATATAACTCAAGCAAATTTGGACTGAATAAGTTGAAGCATGTTTGTTCCACTAAGGGTTTAGTGAGCAATGAGCTAGGAGGAAATTAGATTTTGGCACAATGCCAAATGTGGGGGGGAAAAAATGCATTTTTCCACTCATAAAAGAGAATCTGGTCATCCAAATATGCTGATTTCCATTATTGGAGACCTGCATGAGGCAAAGCCTTTGCTTCTAAGATTTAGCCATTTTTTTCATAAAAATTTTCCAATAATGTCACCAAACTGAATAGAAAATAAGACTAACAGAGCAAGCTTATGTAACGCATGATGGTTACATCACCTGAAATGGTCGCACAATGACCTCCGACCCCTCCTTGGAAAGGTCTAAAGATGGGGATCGTTAATATTTATTGATATTGATACCTTTATCGATACTCCTTATCGATCCGAGTCTTTATCGATACCACTATCGATACTTTTCTGTTATTTGGTGGAAAGAGGATGCGACATGTTTTTACCGGAACTGGTATTGCTTTTATTGCTTAAAAAGTGAGCATAACAAAAACGTTTCTAGCCTTCAATGAACATGGCTAATGTAATAGGCCACTTCGAAATGACATAAAACTAACTAGAATATATCAGCAGCACCAAATGAAAAATAAAATGTCATAATGTATATAAATTAAATAAATAATATGCTGTGTCACACAAAAGGAAATAAAATATCAGCTCATAAATTAACAGGTTTTTTTTTTTTGCAGAAAAATTAACATGTCTGTCACTTTTCATCATGTTTTTAGTGATTAGGAAAATATTTAGCAAATAAATAATTGTATTTTAAATTAAATGTAATTTTTAATAAATGTTTGCATCAGTAGTTTAATTATATATTCTAAAATAATTAGAGCAATATACGACTGTATTACTCATGTTTCTCGCCAAAAACTCAATTTCCCTTTTCTTTACGTTACACTTGAACGCATCATGATAACCTAATTGTCGTTTTACTGAGCCAATCTGAACACATCATCACGCAGCACGTCTGAAACTTTATTTACTTTTCAAGCTAACTAGCTTGTATGCTGCCGTTACAACACGGATTTCACAATTATTATTTTTAACTGACTGGACAAGCACAAAGTCTGTGTGCGCGCTTACCAGTGGTACTCTGAATGGATGATTAAGACGGGCCCGACTGTGGTGCGGCGGCAGCAGGAGGAGGAGTCTTTTTAACCCGGAGACAGTTGAAGGTACTGCATTTGGCCTTTATTTGATGCACAATACTAACGTGCTTGGCCATTGAGGTTGTGTTCCCCCCTTTACAAGAGATGATTTTGCAACATAAGTTGCATTTCGCTTCTTCTTTATCTTTGAGCTTGGTAAAATGAAGCCAAACTTTAGACCTTTGCGAGCAAAGTTAACTGCCAGACTTCACTTGTTTTACTTTTAATATCTGTTTGCTTACAATTTCATTCTAAAACATTGGCGGACATGCTGCAGTGATTGGATTGATTAGATTCGGTCTCCGCCAAGTGACGTCAATTGTTTACCTCGGGCGCGGTGCATCGTGGAAAAACCACCATATTAGGTGGAAAGTCGAGATAAGCCACACGCGGATGTTCTTTCGGCACAATTATTTACCAGAAATGACACGATCGTGTTGTGTGAGAGGCTGCCAGTCCCGGTGTCGTGCCAAGGTAGTTATCCCTGCGAAAATTTGTATCCCCTCGTCGGGAGCGCGCACAGCGTAGGAAGATAAACCCGAGTTAACTCCGCTTCAATTCCAACGTGCAGAACTTGAAATTTGAAAGGTTTTACGTGTATGAAAGCTGAGCTTTACTGTTTTATTCTTTACTTCACATGTTATAGCAGAATACCAGTGATATTAATTTAAAACTAATAATAAAACACAAACGTTTGCTTGAAAGCAGGTTGCTGACAGCAGTGTCTACTCCTTCATCTGAAAGCAAACAGATCCTTGTTGTTTTCCATATGTGCCTTAAAAAAATCTCTCATTGTTTCAGTGTCCAAATGTTCTCAACCCATTGAAAACTGTTGTAAACCATATACTTGTAATAAAAATGAAATAGAAAATGGACTGCACGTGTAATCACCAAAGACTATATGCAGAAGGAAATAATTTTTTCCTGGTTGAAATTTAGTACTTAAATCTATATTTGTGTTTATAGTAACGTACAATTTATCTATGTTGTACTATCTTTAATAAACAGTTCGTCTTCTAACATCAGCCGTTTTATTTCATCCCATTTTGCCAGAACTGGAAGTATGGGATGAAATAAAACCTGCTGTAATCTGTTCCCCCTGTCTAAATCAGGCAAAAAAGGCCCCAGCTTTTTCATTTTTGGCTTATAAGCATCTTTTATGATGACAACTAACCCCTGAAACTTTGGAGTTGATTGACCTTTTATTTTTTAAAGTTACAAGGGGGGAAACAAATTATAGCAGGCCACCTGCTATAATCTGTTCCCCCTGTCTAAATCAGGCAAAAAAGGAGCCATTTGTGAACTGTCCGTGTGCTTCCAGTCCCTTATATGCTTTGAATTCCTCGCAAGTGTAGGCACTGACGCCAAACACTTGGTAGTTTGTTATGTCCACTGATGAGGTCGGAGTCAGTGAAGTGACGTCGGAGCTCCAGTCTTTGCTGCGGAGATAATAAGGATCTATGCCGTTAATATCCGACGGTTTCGACAAGTAACGGTCCCTGGCCTCCTTATTAAGTTTTTGCCGGTACGGTAATTTCGCATTCTGCTTACTTTTTTCCATATAGTCAGAGAAACAAACTCAATCCTTTAGTCCTTCGTTTAGCTATGCTGCGGTTGTTTACACTACGCCTTTTCAAAAATGGCGTCTTAACAACAAATGTCACGTGACTGGCGGAGACCAATTATGTTACAGGACCTCCGGGAGAAAAAAAAAAAAAACGACCAGACTCGATAGTGGTATCGATAAGCCCAAGCGTTATTGATTTTCAGGTTTTGAAAAAAGTGGAACCGGGTCCTTGACAGAACCGGGTTTCGATCCCCATCCCTACTTGTGGAAAAAATAATTTTGAAAAATGTTTTAGAAATTTTAAAGCCCAAATTGAAAGGCATGTGGTTGAAACACCATGTGACTTTGTTTTTTGCTCATTTCTATAAAAAGATAAACATGAGCAGTGGTTAAAAGATCAGTCCTTCCATCTGGTCTCATGGAGAATTTTTTAAAAACAGAATAAGAAATAAATGTTTCATATCTGAGGTTTTTTTTTTTACCTGTAGTCGGGGATTGTTGTGAACTCTGTGCCTGTTCTTCTCAGGTCTGCCAGTGTGACCAACCTCTCCCTGGACCGCTCTGGATCCACTCTGGTCTCCACCTACGACAGTTCAGTCAGTCCACCGACCAGCCGAGCCCTGTCAGGGACCAAGAGCGGCACCAAACTGGACCACAGCGAGGAGGAGAGGAAGATCCTGCTGGTGGGTGCTTCCTCCTTCATGCCTCACTGGCTTCTGCTTCGTTCTCACTGATCACGATTGGAGCTGCAATTTGCTGCTTCATTTTTGATGTTTGTCCACATTAAGGTCAAGTAAAGAGTGAACAGATGCTTTTACTGCTCCTGTGTTCAATTTGCTATATTTGCTGTGATCAATAAGTAAAAAGTAGTTTTAATATGCGAGAAAGTTTCAATTTATTCATATACCACAATTCACAACACGTCGTCTCAAGGCCCTTTACAGTTCACCAGATTATACAGTTAAATTGATTTAAAGTTTTCTATCTAAGGAAAACCAGTTGATTGCATTGACTCATTGACTGGAAGGCAATACCTCACACTAAGCATGCTTGTAGCGACAGTGGAGAGGACAAACTCCCTTTTAACAGGAAGAAACCTCCAGCAGAACCAGGCTCAGTGTGAGCGGCCATCTGCTGAGGCCGACTGGGGTTCAAGGAGACAGAAGCAACCAACTCCAGCAGCTGCTCAGATTAGGGATGGAACGGTTTATGAAAACCGTCCGAATCGTTCGGTTCGACTGTCTCGGTTCGGTTCGTGCGCTGCTCTTTTTTCTCATAGGCGAAGCGTTTACACTCCAGAGTAGAAGGTGGCGGTACTGCGACGAAAGCCAACCACCAATAGTAAACAAGAAGAAGAAGCGAAGCAGCGTAGCAGAAAAAAAACCAGTTGTTGTGGAGAATTGTGTGGGAATGGCGAGTGGGAAAGAACAGGAGTTGGAAGACGCGCCAGCAGCACTTTATAGGTCTGCTGTATGGGACCGCTTTGCATTTAGAGTGACCTACGATGACGGCGGAAAGAAAGTTGTGGATAAAAGTGCAACAGGGTGCAAGCATTGTGCAACACGTTTTGTTTATGCTAACAGCAACATGACCAACATGTCATGCTAACCCAGAAATCCCACATACTCCATCAGCGCTCCGCCCTGCTGCGCTCCAGACCGCCTGCACAAAGCAAAGCCTACAGCCTCCACTGTGGCTCCCGTCCGCTCCGTTCGGAGTTCCTTGGAGATCGTAGAGAGCATGCGCGAGATGATTAAATTCAAAGCAGCAAAACATGCGGAAATGATCCAGGGTTTCCGCGGATCATTAAAAATAATTACAATTCATTCATTTTTTTGGATTTTTTCATTAATTTTTATGGGATTTTGGTGTAACAAACATATACCGAACCAAACTGAAAACCGTGACCAGAAACCGTGAACTGAACTGTGGATTTTGTGAACCGTTCCACCCCTAGTCAAGATGCACTGCTCCTGCTGCTCTAGACGTTGCATGTAAACCACCTGCTTCTGCTGCTGAAATCCCGTTCGGTGTGAACTTAGCAGTAGATACACACTCTGACTTGTGGTTGTTGTCAATGAAAAAATTCTGGTTGGATTTATGCATATTCTTTAGGATTGTTCTCATGACCTTTGATGAAATCCTGCAAACTGTATTTGTTACAGGATTCGTCGCAGCTGAAGGAGTTGTGGAAGAAAATCTGCCATAACAACACAGGGATGGAGTTCCAGGACCACAGATACTGGCTGAGGACTTACCCCAACTGCATTGTGGGAAAGGAGCTTGTTAACTGGCTGCTCAGGAACGGCACCATCTCCACCAGGTATCGTCTTTCCTTCCCAAAGCAAACTGTTGGAGCAGGTAAAGATGAACCACCAGGTTTCTACACTACAGGGATGAAACTGCTCAACACACACGCTCACATCCTGCTAGCATTCAGATACCAAACGATAACGAGTCTGATGCTGATTAAAATGAATGCTTAAATGTAGGACTGTAGTGGCTGAAAACACAGTATAAGCCTTTTATATCAGTCTGTTATGTTAACTTTTTGTTTTTTAACTATTAAAAATTTAAAAAGTTGTGGAAAAAAGTCTTTTACCCTATTCAAACCTATCCTTTTAATGATTTTGCTTTAGGTCAATCGGTCGTGGTTTTTGGAAGTTATTAATCATAATCTGACAGATTTTAATTTGATGTTCTTCAGGTGTCTGTTAATATATTCTCATATTAATTGTAAATTTTATTGCTGAACAATTTTGCCAGAATTTTTAAATTAGTTTATTTTTTTCTAATATTAGGATTTTACTTTTACACTAACTGCAGGTAGGGTCCAAAATTAGCTCTCGTCACTCGCCAAATGCGACTAAATGTTTAATTTGGCGAGTTAATGCCATATCACCAGTCGCCACAAGGCGAGTAAATGTTTGAAACATCCTTTCTGCTTTTATTTTAGTAAGTCTCTCCTCTGTCCCTGTGTTGCTCACAGGCCAATAGGCTGAGTGCGCATCCCCAACACCCATTCATTTAACAACAATTCCACCACTAGGAGGTATTTAGTTGGAGCAACCAAGCCTCCTAAAATACAACAAAGCGATTAGGAGGAGCGAGGATCTACAGTCCGATGGGCGTAGTGTAGGGCTGGGTATTGTTAAAAAATTTTTGGTTCCGGTACCAATACCGATACCTTCACTTCGATACCGGTTCCTGAACGATACTTTTTTCGATACCAGTTTTATAATATCAATTCGAAGAAAAAGAAAATTACACAACATAAAAAAGTACAAATCTTAAGTTTTATTTTAAGCTCTGATTTTTCCATTTACATTTTTCCTCTTACATAAAAAAAAATTCAGTGTCTAATATTCACTGTTACATTGTGAGGACCTTTTTACTGAGCAGTTTTCCTTTAGAAAAATTAACATGTCTGACAAACAAGCCCATTGAATGGGATCCTACTGACAGCGCACCGCTGGTATGTGGGGGTCTGAGCGGCTCCGACAGAAATATTGGAAGGCAGGATGAACTGACTGCACTGATTAAGTTTTCGGGTGGATTTTCCCATTTAAAAACATAATAAAACTACTTTATTCCCACTGATCACAGCAAATATAGCTGCAAGGCAGAGAAAGGATAGAGTAGCTCCGCCCAACGCGCGTCAGAGCCACTTTTCGACCACTTTTCAGAAGCTGGTACAAGCAGCAAAAATGAAGCAGCAGACGCGATTTTGCTGCTCCTGCTGCGTCCAGTTTGAAAGCAGCATGATTCACTCCACTCTGGCTTTGCACCGCCCACGGGCTGCTGAGAGGAGGATGGTCGCGCCGGCTGCGGTCAGCTCTTCTTGCAGTCAAACACCGAGCAACTTTCTGCTCTTAAATTATTTCCGTGCACGATGTATTGCATTGCGCACTATTGGCATCAGTCTTAATAAAGTGAAGCCACACTTTTGACCTGGGGGGCATTTTAAAGGGGTTCCACGACGCTCGCAACCAGTTCACAACAGATACACATGAACCCTGGCTGTAGGCGTGACCACCTGTGTATTTTTCCTGGATGACGCAATCACGTTAAGTGTTACAGCCAATCACCGAAACTTGGTACCTAAAGACGAGGCATGTTTCGATACTCTGTAGAACCGAAGCATTTCGGTAGGTACCATAAAAGAACCGAAGTTCGGTACCCAGCCCTAGCGTAGAGAAACTTTATTGAAAAATGGAGCTGTCAGGAAGACTGTTTCATCCCGGAAGCACAATCAGTCCTGCCCATGTGCGAACAGATATACATAATAAATAATGATAATTATGGTACTAATAGTAGTTATTTCTATCCTTAACTTACTAAAGAATGCTAATAAACATCTTTAATAAAATGTTTTATGACTTTTGTGAGACAATTTTGATGCTTTTTACATTTTCTTTGTTAAACTTCTTCTCTGAAATCATCATCAATATGATTAAACCATCTTTATCTGCATTTAGATTACGCACTATATACCGTATTGTTAATACGAACAGAAAACATAAAAACTCAAAAAGAGTTTAAATTCTAAGCCGAAAAAGTTAGCTCCTGGAAGTAGCGTAGGATCCTGTTTCTGGTGCAGATCGGGCAGAGACGAGTGATGAAATTTTAAGGCATTTATTTTCTCAGGAAATACATTATTAACCTTTAACACATTATATTTTAGTACATTTACTATTTTGGGGGAGGGGAAAAACTAAATATAGTTATTTTTGAACAAGATAAAATTGTGGGCGAACTGGATGTAGATCTAGATGCGAATGCGAAATGAGCTGATGTTGCATGCGCAGGACGGATCGTGCTTCTGGGACGGATCGAGTAGTGACAGGCTTATTCATGACGCTGCTAGAGTGTCTGTGTCCTCTGAAGGATCCCCAAAGCTCTGCATGTTTTTGTTTATGTCACCTATTTAGGACCTTTTTTAGTATATTTACTAACTTCTGAGGACCAACAGGCCTTTTTTTAGACCAGGTGGACCCCCATCTTTAACGTTGGTTAGAGTGAAGGTCGGAGCTAGGCTATTTCTCGATGTTTCACAAGTACATGAAAGCGCACAAGTACACATATTATCAGCCTCAGCCGTAGTACTGTTCCAATTCACAAGAACACAAGACTGAGAATGGACAAAGTCCCTGGATGTTGTTCTCGCCCCTCCATCTTTACCCAGCATGCATCAGAGCAGACTTGTCCGTTCTCCAGCTGTCCCAGAATGCACTGCGGCAACAGCAGCTTCCAGGTTAGCGCTCTAAGAGCTAGTTAAGCTAAGTTAAAAGTTCAATTTTCTGTTGCCGTTGTTCTATAAAAGTATGTTTTAGGATCATGTGAGGCAAGAACATTATACTTTAAGCGTCACCATATGGTACATTTACTGATTTAGTGAGAAATTTAAAAAAAGGTCCAATGCTGAGACGACCGTGGCAACCAGGGGAGCTCCGAGGCTAACCGCAGCCAAGGCTAACGTTAGCCCGTCTGCAGCAGCCAGGGCTAAATGAAAATGTATTTTTCAGATTTTACCATTAAAGTGGAGACTGATCTAAAACGAAAATGCTTCTTTGGTCCTTACTTATTTTATAATTTATGACTAAGCTTAGACTGGGGTGGAGGGTTAGGCCCCAAAAAGGGTTAAAAATGAATGGAAGTCAATGGAAAACATGTTTGTGTGTGTGCTGCAGGGCGCAGGCTATCGCCATAGGCCAGGCATTGGTGGACGGTCGCTGGCTAGACTGTGTCACTCACCATGACCAGCTGTTCAGGGATGAGTACGCTCTCTACCGCCCCCTGCAGGTAGGAGCCCTTTAGGCACACAGCAACCAAAAACCTTTTAAAAGTTTGCCAGGATGCTTATCATTCAAGAGATGGTGTTATTCTTTTATTTTATGTTTTAATACCACTTTAGCTGTTTGTTGTTTTAGTTGTGTATTTCAATGACAGGTTTGCAGAGTGTGACCCGTCTCTGTTTGTGCCGCAGAGCACCGAGTTCTCTGAGACACCCTCTCCAGACAGCGACAGCATCAACTCCATCGAGGGACAGTCGGAGCCGTCCTGGTTCAAAGACATCAAGTTTGACGACAGTGACACAGAACAGCTGGCTTACGAGTCCGACTACACAGTGCCAAGTAGGTAACCCCCCCCGAACCCCCACCCCACAGCCTGTCAAAGTTTTTCTTTGCCGTTTTTTGGCGTGTTAAAATTCGCCGGGCCTGTGTCCAGACTCCGCCAGCCCCAGCAAGAGGACGTCGGTTAGCAGCTTCCACTCAGCGGTGGACAGCGACTCCGCCGCCTCCATCAACCTCAACATGGAGCAGAACAATGTGAACTTTCACATTAAGAAGCAGTCCAAGTATCCACATGTGCCTCCGCCTGCAGACCAAAAAGGTAGGCAGAACCTGGTGGGACGTGTCCTCTGATCAAACTGATGGATTCTTTAGATGTTCTGCAGTTTGTACAACAACTTAAGTCAGCTCTGGTCTGATCTGAATTTTATCTACAATTACATAATTGGGTTTAAATATTGTTTAAGGCAAACCTTTGAATCACTAATGACAGAAAAACGTCAGCTTTATCTGTCCTCTTAAGGTTTTTATTAAGGCTGATTTTAACATTTCAGAGTAACTCCAACTAGGGCTGGGCGATATGAAGAAAATCTAATATCAGGATATATTGGGGCTAAAATGGAGATACACGATATATGTATATCATGATACGTTTAGTTACCTTTAAAAACAATAGAGTATACTCATATACTCATTCAAACTTTAAGTTTCTAATTTAAAACATTTTATTTTAACCAGCTCAAAGCTTTTTACAAATAATTCGTCCACTTTATTTCTTTGGGTGTCAGTATTGGAGCTTTAACAAGATCCCAGCAACCAAACAGGAAACGCCCAAAACTAAATCAAATGGAAAAGTTACTTTCCCAAAATGAGCAGTTTAAACGCATTTTAAAAGGTCTGTGATACATTTTCAGTGCAGTTATTCTCCTGCTGATCTCAGAGTTCAAAGGTTGTGTAAATATTTAAATTTCAGCCATCAGTTGTTTAACTGTGAATTACTTTTAAACCATTGTTACAACCTTCACTTTCATTAACTGTTTCTCACAAACTTCCAGCAGAATTTCTTGTTTCGGAGGACGGAGGACAGAACATCACCATCAGTGATGCTTTCATCAAAGGTAGGGTTGCAGTGTTTCCTCATTGCACTTCCTGAGTGGTTCCACGCGGCTGTTCTTCCTCCTGAGCTGCTGTTTCTGTCGCAGAGTCTCTCTTTAACCGTCGTGTGGAAGAGAAGGCCAAAGAGATGCTGTTCACTCCGCTGGGATGGCACCACAGCTCTCTGGATCAGCTGAGGGAGGAGAATGGAGAAAAGATGGCCATGGAGAGGCTGCTGTGAGTGATCGCTGTTTGCCTGACTGATTTCAGAAGCTGTGATTCAAAGGAGGGCTTCTTGTGATCTGATCTCCTCTTAACCTTAAATGAAAGCAGCTTGTTTAAAACTTGACTTAAAACAGAAACACTTTGCTGTTTTTTTGCTATCAACTAAAAAAGAATTCAAATTAAGTAATCTGAGATCATCTGCAAATGGAATGAGGATTGTTGCCATTAAAATAGGATAATTAAGAGATTATGCACCTCTAATAAGATTATTTTCAAACATGTTGGAAAATTTTCTTACCTGCTCAAATCAAGGGAAAATACAGGTGATTATAACTGACTTACTTATATTTCATGTTTTGCATTATAACACATGGTTAAACTCAATGCATTGTGCTGACGGGTGGATTAACAGCAGAGAAGGTCATTATTTTCTCGAATTTTTTAAAAGACCCGCTCTCTCTCAAAAAAAAAAAAAAAGTTTGTGTGCGAGAGCGTGCATGAGCCTTTTTCTCCTCGTGCACTCTCTTTTTAAAAGTTGCTGTTTTCATTCTTCATACGCTTACTGTGTTCGAACGCCCGCCCTAACCCCTAAATCCCTCAATCACTATAGAGCGGGGACTATATAGTGTATTCAGTCAACTTACCGGTCGGACAGATGATCACTTCCCCTTTAAGGCTGGTTTATGCTCAGAAACCAGGACGTCTGCGTGTGTGTCGCAGTTACCGCAGATATGCCCCCTCCTTCCGCTGACATTCTGCTGCACCTCTCCAAAATTGTACGTATCCGCAGACGGTGCCGCATGATTGGTCAAATTTACATCCGTTCTCCTCTATACATATTTCCTGTTTGGTACCTTTCTGGCTTTTTTTGTTTGTATGACCGCCATTGTGGAAAATGACTTGCGAAGATGGACCAGCTAGAAGAGCGAGGTGTGCGAGAATGCTGGGACCCTTTCCACCTGGATCCCCGCTCTTTTTCGCCCTCATGTCCCTCTATTGTCCCTTGGGTTTTCCACTTCCTCACTGCCTCAACTGCATCTTGACCCAAAGTTAATGCATATTTGTCCATCTTGCGTTGTGTCGTGGAATAACATAGAGCAGACCGCGCTTCAATATTGGGCATAAATCAAAAATAACTGCAACAAGCTTACTACGACACACAGCTGCGGGAGGATAGCTTGTCTTTAATTCAATCGCGCGGTGCATGTGCCATTTTTGCTATTAATCGCCCCTGTTGGGTAGCGGCAGTCTATGGTGACAGCAAATCCCACAATGCTTTGCGAGGAGAGCTTCCTGTGCAAAGCATTTTGGGATATATCTGTCTCTTCTGAGGCCTTTCTTTTCTTCTCATACACTTAATAGACACTTTCTCTCTTACGACTAGGGAATTGATAAGGTTTTCACAATTTCGATTACCTTATTGATTCTGTGAAACGATTCTATTCCTTATCCTTTCTCTTATTGATTCTGTTAACAATGAACTTGCTAAGACCCTCTGCCATATTTCAAAGAACCGCGGTGAGAAAGGTGAGCTTTGTCTGAAGCCGTAGCTCATCACAGATCTACGTCTGAAAGTGCGCACGCGCAGAAAAAGATAGCTAACGGTACGAGCACGTAGGAAGGACTTGCGTAAACATATAACCAGAATGATCAACAGTTAGGAGGACCACTGATTGAGATAAACCACCCGGAAATAAAAGATCATCATCTATAGCTTTTAACTTTGCCACCATATCAGATAGATGCTGTCTTTTCTGCAAAGTTTTTCTATGTTTTACTTTCGTTTCTTAAAGCTATTTGTTTGTAATGATTGAAAAACTGTTTTACAGGTCGATGAAATCTGTAGTAACCGGTTCTTTTAGAGTTCCTGGGATCTGTTCAGTGTTTCTCTCCTGTTCTGGGAAAATTGAAATGAAATAAAGGAGGGATCTGACGTCTCCGTCTGTCTTTATACGGCAACGAACCACTAATTGGAAATGATCTGCCTGATGTATTCAGCTCAGCCAACCACAGCCACATGATGGCGCTGCTGCAGCAGCTGCTCTACAGCGAGTCCCTGTCTCTGTCCTGGAGGGACATCATCGTTCCCGTGGTCCGGCAGGTGGTCCAGACGGTTAGGCCCGACGTCCGTAACTGTGACGACGACATGGACATCCGGCAGCTGGTGCACATCAAGAAGGTGAGACAAGCGTGGCCCAAGTTTTCTCTGGATCACATTCTCACCTCCGTATCAGGGGAATGGGAGGTGTTTGAGGTCCTCAGATTAAAGGGGAACTCCGGTTTTTTTACATTGGCCCCTTGATTTTACGTTATTACATCATGTTCTACTCACCCATATGAGTTTTGTGTCAGTTGGAGCCGTTTTGAAGATATTCCCTTAGGTTATATCCAAGTAACGTCTTCCTATGGGCAACGACTTGAAGGCACAAACTGAACTGCTCATAATTTATTCTTTATGGTACGCCAGCATTCAGAACATGTAGGCCAATCACTGTCCCCCAGACATCCATGGTTATATTTTTTATATTTATATTTTTTTAAAACACAGCGCAGTGTGTATGATGTCATCTGCGCCGGCTACCGTTCATTCATCCTGTCCGCTGAACTGCTGCTATTTTTCCTCACATGTCTGGAAGATGTCTAGTGCTGCTACCACAGATGATCTCGCTCTCCGAATGGAATTGAACTATTCAGATTAGCTAGAATAAATAGAAAGGGTAGAGCGTAGCCGCCTGTGGCCCGGGTTGCCTGTTACGACTCCAGTCCGGCGCACGGATGATGTCATACACACTTTGTTTTTAAAACATATAAATTTAAGTAATCTAGAAAAATTATGAACAGTTCAGTTTGTGCCTTCAAGTCGTTGCTCATAGGAAGACGTTACTTGGATATAACCTAACGGAATATCTTCAGAATGGCTCCAAATGACACAAAACTCATAAGGGTGAGTAGAACATGATGGAATAACGGAAAAGTAGGGCCAAATGTAAAAAAAAACAGCGTTCCCCTTTAACTTAAATATTCCATAAATAAGGATGAAAACTTACAGCCAGAAAACCATAATAATAAATCTTTTTATTATTAAATTTTAGCAAATAAAAAGGAACATGTAGATATCAGCCTAGCTTTAAATTAGCTTTTTATTTTGTGTTGAAAAATTATTCCAATTCAGACACATTTTATGCCCCTTTTTTAACCATAAAGTGAAGCTTTAGAGTAGCTCTTCCTTTTTATTTGTCAATTTTTTTCTTTATTCTTTTATCAGTTTTAGAAATAAAATATTTTATTTCCATTTATGAAAGATATTTACCTGTTTTTTTGGGGTTTTTTTTGTGGGATGGGTCATCATTGTGCAACAGAAAGTCCCCATAAATGGAATAACTGTTCCTTCGCCGCATTCATGATCTGTGTTTCATTTTAACATGTTTTGATCTGTCTGGTTTGTTTGGCTCAGTTAAGTTGATCCTTCTTTTCTATAAACCATTTCCTCTTTCTCAACGTTGTACGGAACAAAGATGAAGTAATAAATAGAACAATCTTTGCGGTTCAGATACCAGGAGGCAGGAAGTTTGACTCCATGATGGTCAACGGCTTCATGTGCACCAAGAACATCGCCCACAAGAAGGTAAATCATCCTCTATTTGCTTGGACCTTAACCTATTAAGCCCAGAGGGTCTAAGGAGCGAATTCCACCTGAAATTAGATATGTGAATTAAAGGACAGCTCCCAAACTATAAATTGGAAATACAACTGTTTGACTTTGTATGACAGAAAGGCTTTGAGGAAAAGGTGGAACCACTATTGTAAATGTCGCCAGGTCTGATTTTATTGTTGATTAAACAAAGAAAAACTCCAGGAAACACCATTTGAAACTCTGGATGAACCCTAGGACTATATAGATCCACATCTTGACTATAACTCAAGCAAATTTGGTCTGAATAAGTTGAAGCATGTTTGTTCCTCAAAGGTTTTAGTGGGCAGTGTGGCGGAAATTTCATTTTGGCACACTGTGGTCAAATTATGCAAAAATTGTTTTTTTTTTCACTCATAAATGGGAATCTAGCCAGAAAAATATGCTGATTTACATCATTACCTTCTGCAGACGGGCAAAGCTATTGCTCCTAAGATTTAGCCGTTGTTTCATTTATAATTTACCAATAATAACTCCAAAATGAATAGAAAATAAGAATAACTGAGCAAGCTTATGTAAAACATGCTGGTTCCATCTAGGGATGCACGATATAATCGGCCCCCTATCGGTATCGGCCTTAAAACTGAATATCGGACATCGGCCACCCCACCGATATTTAACCCGATATTTGATCAGCTTCTGAGTTTCTAAAGTCTAAAAAAAAAAAATACTACTTCTTCTTCTTCCTCAAAAACATCTTTTTTACAGACTTAAAAACTTCTAAAGACGAGGGAAAAAATATTGATACATTAAAATATCACAATATCTTCCTATGCTGATATATTGCCATTTAAAAACACCATATCAATCTCTTTTACTTATGAAATATTGCTATATGTCATCGTTATGCTACGAAATCTCCCTAAAATCCACGAAATTTTGCCATATTTTTATCTGTTGATATATTGACGCGGTATCGATCTATTCTACTAACAAAATCTCACAAGAATTTGCAAAATATCACGAGAGTTTGTAACAGAACGATGAAATTTCACGAGATTTTAAAAAGTAAAATAGATCGATACCGCGTTTTTAAAAATCAATTTGATATCAGCATATGAAAATATATTTTAGTATATATTTTTTTAAAGTGTCAGAAATGGATAACAAAACTGCTATTTTCAATGACTACTTATTTCTGTTCAGCTTTAACATCGGTATCGATATCGGTTATCGGCTACATGAGTTTTAAAATATTGGCATATCGGATATCGGCCAAAATCCCAATATCGTGCATCCCTAGTTCCATCACCTGAAATGGTCGCAAAATTACCTCTGACCCTCCAGGGAAAGATGATGAGCCTCTAGATTCCAATGATGCCCGTCATTAGGGGGCGGGGCTAAAAATGAATACCTGCTGTTGCATTACTTCCCCAGAGTCACACATGTCAGGTGGAATTTTTAAATTTCACTTTATTTGTTTACAAAGGTATAAAACAAAAAAGTCTTGTGAAAAAATAATTTGGAAGAATTTTAAAGTCCCATTTGAAAGGTGTGTGGATGAAACACCATGTGACTGTGTTTTGGCCATTTCTATAAATGGATAAACATCAGCTGGTGTCTGCTGGGCTTAATGGGTTAAGCTCTGCTGTAGGAAGGAGTTCTGGTGGTCAGTGTTTGTGTGTTGGAAGTTCTAACATCTAAGTTTAAATCTGAACTGGAATTAGATGAACTCCTACATTAAGAACCCCAAGATTCTGCTGCTGAAGTGTTCCATCGAGTACCTGTACAGAGAAGAGACCAAGTTCACCTGCATCGAGCCCATCGTGCTGCAGGTGAGAAGCGTCCAAAGACTTTGAGACCAGAAGGATCCACTTATCTTTCTGTTCCAAGACTTTTATTTTTTTTTTATTCCCTCTTTCAGGAACGTGAGTTTCTGAAAAACTATGTGCAGCGCATCGTAGATGTCCGTCCCAACCTGGTGCTGGTGGAGAAGACTGTGTCGCGCATAGCTCAGGACATGCTGCTGGAGCACGGCATCACGCTGGTCATCAACGTCAAACCGGTCAGTCTCTGGGATCAGGGGGTTCCTATCGGGCTCTGTAGAGCCGTACACTGTAGGCTGTTCTCATGCAGAACTAGAAGATGTCTTAAGTTAGAAGGCTAATCAAAGGCCCTTTCTCAATTCACAACAACGTGAGTATGGACTCATGTCCTCGCCAAGTATGTTCCTGACAAGAACACAGGAAAGTGGACTTGGGGAGAACAAGAGCAAACAGAATAAATATGGGTCGATTGGAACAGGAGCGTACTGAAGACGTCACAACACGCTCTGCTGCATTTCACCTCCTGTTATTAATAGCCTCCAGATAATAATGAATTCTTACCTTTTTCATTTGGGTGGGGGAATAATAATTTAAACAGTCAGATAAACAAAAATTAACATTTCAAATGAACATTTTGCCCATTTTAAATTGTCTCACTTCCCTCCTCAGTTCAAGAAAAAAAAAAGACTTATTTAGATTTAAATTTTTTGCAGTGTAATCTTAATGTCAGACACTTGGTGAAGTAAGATTATTCTGCTTCTTTGATAGATAGTGTAACTTTATTTGAATTATTTTTTTCCTCAGCTTTTGTGTGTTTTATGGTTTATGAGAGACCAGTGGATAAAATCAAGTTTCCTTAGATGAATATATTTTTTTTTCTGTTCTGGATTCCCAGTGGTTTGATGATTAACCAGCATCATTGGTAATTCCAGATTATAATTTGGACCAAATCTCAGGAAATAATTTCTTCTTCTTCTCCCTGGTAGAAAGTCTTGGACAGAGTGAGTCGAATGACCCAAGGTGACCTGGTGATGTCTATGGACCAGCTGCTCACCAAACCGCGTCTGGGAACCTGCCACAAGTTCTACATGCAGCCCTTCACTTTGCCCAACAGTAAGCCCCGCCTCCCGCTGGCACCACTACTGTCAGCGCCGGACACGCCATCATTTCTCTGTTTGTTTCCAGATGAGATGAAGACTCTGATGTTCTTCGACGGCTGCCCTCCTCATCTGGGCTGCTCCATCAAGCTGCGCGGCGCGTCGGACTACGAGCTCGCCAGAGTGAAAGACATCATCACGCTGATGGTGTGCGTGGCGTACCACTCGCAGCTGGAGATCTCCTTCCTCATGGACGAGTTTGCCATGCCACCCAGCCTGCCCCAGAGCAGCTCCTTCCCATGCCTGCTAGAGGGTTCCGCTGCAGACGAGGAGATGGAGGGAGACAGTATGGAGAAAACGGCGGTGAGCGACAACTCCACCCTGGAAGGACAATCAGAAGAAGCCCCTCTTTTAGAGTCCTCCACTAAAAATGAAGACGCAGACGTTTCTGTGCAAGAGGAGGCTGAAAAAGCAGAAACTAGGACGTCGTCTCCGTGCTCCAGTCCTGCTCCGCCTCCTTTCGCCGTCAGTTCTCAGTTCTTCGCCGAGGAGGAACAGGAAATGGGCTTGGACACCTTGTTGGGAACTTCTGAGGGAGAGACTGTGATGGAAGAGTCGGTGGGACTGGAGGATGAACAGCGCTTAGAGACCCCCACCCCAAAGTTATTCAGAGACCCTCTGCAGGACGACACAGGGATGTTCGTGGCGGAACATGTGGATTCTTCCGACGACCGGCTGAAGTCCATCTCCGCCGTGTTTAAGCACGAGCTGAAGGACATCATCCTGTGCATCTCCCCCTTCATCACCTTCAAAGAGCCGTTCCTTCTCACTCCTGTGGGGATGCACTGCCCCAGCAGGGATTACTTCCCTGAGGAGGTACCTCCGCTTTCACACTACGACCAACCCGACGAACCGCAGCTTTTTGGGTTTCTTATCAACATTCTTATGTCTCTGCTACAGGTCTACTTGTCTCCTCTCCTCAATAAGGACCTGAAGGAGCTGGACGGACGCCGAAAACGTCAGCTGCTCAAAGATTCTGCTCCCTCCTCTCTGCTCAGCGCTCAAACCAACGGCACCGCTCAGCCAAAACCCACGGAGGTCCTACCGTCTCACGGGCTCACCAGCACCCGCATCGTGGACCACCTGAGCAGCAGCCAGGACCTCGCTAGAATGTTGGCGGACTTCAGAGCGAAAGGAGGGCGAATCCGGCAGAAACAAACAGGCGACCCGTTTGGCCCTGCGGCTGCAGGCAGCAACCAGAACCGGGGAGCAGACATGCCGGTGAAGGTGCTGGGGAAGGCTGGCAGCGAGGAGGAGAAAACGGGCAAACACAGCGACATGAACTGGACTCCAAAGGTACAGTGGTTCTGGAAGTCACCATTCCTTTATTTCTGAGCCCTTCGCTGCTCATGTTTAAAGCATTTAAAACTAGAACACATGTAGCCTCAGTTCAACCCGAAGCCCCAGGTGTAAAAGTGACCTCGTTTTCTTTGGGTTCGGGCTCTTTGTAAAAGAAAAGCCCAAAATGAATGTCATTAAATGTCAAATCATTCTGGCTTAAACATGCATATAAATGTACTCTTTATCAGATTACTCTTTTTCATATTGGCCTAAAAGTTAGAAAATTTCAATAATAAAAAAATAAATAAATCCTGTCTTAAAATCTTTTTTTTTTTTCTGTTATCTTATGAGGCCAGTTAGTTCTATGTCAGCCTGAACACCTAAATTCAGCCAATCATATATCAACGGTCAGAATCCTTTCCCATTGAGTTCCGTCCCAGTGTTCACGGGGATGGACGTCTGTGTCTTCAGCAGGCGTAGAGCTAACAGAACTGGCAGCTTTGCGAGGCAAGGGCTCAAACATGTACGGCTGGAAGCCTTCTACACCAAACCAAGCTTCTGCCGCCCTGGCGTCCTCTTCCACAACATCTTCGTCCCCGCTTTCCTCCTCTAAATAAAACATGGATGACGGAGGAGACTCATCCACGACCTCCGACACTAAACTCTCGGGAACCTACTAGCACTAAGTTGCTAAATGATTAGCAAGATGCTTCCGAGAAACCAGCCGTAACCAACCGTTGCTTGCGAACCTTCCACCACAACAATCCCGCCCCCTTGATAACTGACCAATCACATTAATTTTATTCACTCGTGTAAAGTCATGCATTACTCGGGAGAATTCAGAAATGCAACGGTTGTACAGCCGCTTCCCTACGACTTTTTTAGAAGGATTGTAAAATATCAGTTTCTGCCTCAAACTAAAACTAGAAGTTAGTTCATAGGAGATGAGTTATAAATATAAGATCTGTCTCCTATTCTACTTTCACAACTTCTCTGAACCTCAAGTAAACCTCCAGATTGAGAGCAAAGTGCTCTGATAGGAACATAAGGAACAAATATAGGAAAAGTTTATTCCTAGAGAGCCAATTCACAACACATGTAATCTCAAGGAACTTTCCAGTTCAACCAGATCATACAGTCAAATTGATACAAAGTTTTCTATCTAAGGAAAACCAGCTGATTGCATCGACTCATTGACTCTTCAGCAATCCCTCACACTAAGCATGCTTGTAGCGACAGTGGAGAGGAAAAACTCCCTTTTAACAGGAAGAAACCTCCAGCAAAACCAGACTCTATGTGGGCGGCCATCTGCTGAGGCCGACTATCATGAAAAGATCAGATTCAGGTCGCATATGGGGGGGGGAAAAGTCGGATTTGGGTCACTTCACGCTGAGGTGTGAACATAGCCTAAAAGATCTGCCTCCCATTCTACTTTTAGAAATTCTAGGAAGCACTAGTAAACCTGCAGATTGAGAGCGAAGTGCTCTGTTAGGAACATAAGGAACAATCAGATCTCTGATATCAGATGGAGCTTGGCCATTTAAGGCTTTATATGTGAGAAGGAGGATTTTAAATTCTATTCTGGATTTAACAGGAAGCCAATGAAGAGAAGCCAGGATAGGAGAGATATGATCTCTCTTTTTCATTTTCATCAGAACTCTGGCTGCAGCATTTTGGATCAGCTGAAGGCTTTTAACTACAGTTTGTGGACTTCCTGATAGTAAAGAATTGAGTGAACAAGTCTGACCCTGAGCACCCAGTCTCTAATTCCACGAGGTGGAATTCAATGGTTTTTTATATCCTCTCTTCCAAAACACTGAGCAAAAGAGGAATATTAACTTATTTTATATATATTTTGCGTAGGAATAGAATTTTTAAATGTAAGTTTTTGTTTATTAAGAGCAAAAACTTTCAATCAGTATTTTGCAGAATTTCCAAGTTGCTCATTTCCAAATATTTGATCAGAAGTTAGTTTATATCTCTGTGTGTCTCTAACCGGTACCCATGTTCTGGTTTCCTTGTTTTTTTATCAGGTTGTTTGATACAGTAGATGCTTGAGGTCATGATGGTCTAGTTTGTAAAGCCAACAAGAAGCAGGAAGTAAACGTTTTATTTATTTATTTTTTTCAGCTGGACTGTTTGAACCCGACCAACCACCAGAGGCTCTGTGTGCTCTTCAGCAGCTCTTCCCTTCAGTCCAACAATGCACCCAACCCCTGCGTCAGCCCGTGGTAAACCCCTGGCATCTTAAGCCAAACTGATCATTTTATGCACTCAGTGACGTCGTCTTTCAACAGGATTGTCACCATGGAGTTTTATGGCAAGAACGACCTGTCGCTGGGCGTGTTTCTGGAGCGGTACTGTTTCAGGTGAGACACCGTCACACCGACTGCAGCTTGTTTCTCTGTCACTTTGCCTCACAGCTCGTTTGCTCTCCAGGCCGTCCTATCAGTGCCCCAGCATTTTCTGCGAGACTCCCATGGTGCATCACGTCCGCCGCTTCGTGCACGGCAACGGCTGCGTGCAGATTGTGTTGAAGGAGCTGGATTCCCCCGTTCCTGGTTATCAGCACACAATTCTCAACTACTCGTGGTGCCGCATCTGCAAGCAGGTGAGCCAGAGGGACGGTTTTCAGAACAGAGGCCGACATTGCTGGTGTTTCTTTTTTCTTTATTTAAATTATTTTGGCCTGATAAAATTTGCCTATGAGGCAAAAGGTGCAGAATGAAAACTTGATAAGTGTAACCAAACTTAGGCCCGGTGTAGGTACCAGATCTACTCGGGGCCCCGCCCCTTCTTATCACGTCATCATATTGCAAACTCCACTCTGACAAACTGTAATCCACCCGTTTCTTAAGAATCATATCTCTTTTGGAGTCTGAAACTTTTTATTACCTATATTTGCTATTATTTTACATTTCATTGATGATCTAAAGTAGCTGAAAGTAGAAAACAATCATTGTCCGTCTTGAAGGAAAGTACTGTCTTCTAATACTGAGCTCTGCCGTTTAACAAGGTGACAGAAAAAGTCTTAGCTTATTTTTATTCTTTTATTGAGATCTGAGGGCAGAGGATAAACGGGACATCTTAACAAATGACGTTCGTAGAGATTTTAGACATAAAAACAGTTATTCTACTTGTAGAAAACGAACGGTTGTTGTTGACACGAATTTAAAACTATTGTAGCTTAATATGGCTAATTGAGCAAGCTAAAAGAGGCTAACCTGTTAGCTACTGAGCACAGCTAGCCACAGCGCTACCCAGCTCTTTATATCACGGTCTAACAGTTACTTTGTTCACCATTAACAGTTTTTTTTTTTTTCAGTTTTGTTATTGATCAGGTTAAACTTCATCGGTCATTAGACGCTAACGCTACAGATGCTCTCTACTTGGCACACTGACGCTGCATTTTTATTATCGTTGTCTGGGCAACCACAATGTTTGAAGTCATGTGGCAAAGTTCAGCCAATCATATACCGTAATGTCACTGGCATGCAGCAGGATCCGGCGTAGGAACCAGAGCTGCTCGGGTGAGCAGCTCTGGTTCCTACGCCGGATCCTTAGTAGCCTCGTGAGACCATCCTGATCTCGCCAGCTTTCAAGGTTTCACTCGCTAATCAGTCTGGAGACTCTCCGTTGAAGAAAATTTGGAGCCGTTCACCAAACGAACGTCCAATCAGCGTTGGCTTTGAGGCGGGTTGAGGTGTGACGCAACGAGAAGCGCGACACTTCAGTCTAAAGAGCATGGCGGCTTCAGCCGATGAAACTAGCGATAGCGTGGCTATCGAGCAAGTTTTATCGGAATTACAGAGTATTTCTTCACTGAAAGAAGAGCAAAACACTGCTCTGGAGGCTTTTCTCAGAGGAAAAGATGTTTTTGCTCTTCTCCCGGCTGGTTTCGGCAAGAGTTTGATCTATCAATTGGCTCCTCTTCGTCGTCGCTCTGTTAGTACGTCATATGCTTCGTTGATCTGATTGGTTTATTTGGCCCGTCTATCACCAACATAGGCCAATCAGCTAACCAGTATTTTCGCCCCTTCCCAAAATTACTTCAACGGAAGGTTTCCAGATGGATATGCGGAGCAAATCCATCTGGCGGAGTCAGGTTAGATCCTCAGGGATTCAGAATGAGGGTTGTTAAATTGCACGTGCAATTCTTTCTGTGTCTCTACTGCCCCCTGCAGGTGACTCCAGTGGTGCCTCTTTCCAACGACTCGTGGTCCATGTCCTTCGCCAAATACTTGGAGCTTCGCTTCTACGGCCATCAGTACACCAGACGGGCGAACGCCGAGCCCTGCGGACATTCCATCCACAAAGACTACCACCAGTACTTCTCCTACAACCAGATGGTGGCGTCCTTTAGGTGAGTCCCTCTGACTTCTCACCTGCACATGAAGAAGAGAAAGAGTCGAACTATTCAAACATTATATGCAGTCACTTCAGTAGATTCATTCTTAACTTGGCGTTTGGATGTTTTGCTCAGCTACACCTCTGTTAGACTGCTGGAGATCTGCCTTCCTCGTCCCAAGATCTTCATCAGGAACCTGGGTCCCTCCAAAGCCAACCTGCAGCAGGACCTGAAGGACTTCTACCAGAAGTAAGTGGCTCCAAGTCCACTGACCATCTTATCCGTTCAAGGTCTAAGGTTGTTTTTTGGAGGAAAAATACACCTGACACCTTTTTTTTTTTTTTTTTGTCCAATTCATTTTGGTGTTAAAACGTCATAAAAGTTTCAGTAAATTATAATTAAAGGAATAGTACACCCAAAACATGATTAGCCTTCATTTTCTACTCACCCCCATGCTGAACAACACTCTGGAGTACTTTTTTGATATCTCAAATGCATCTGGAGATCTGGGAGGCTTCTTGCTGTCTGCTGACATTCAAATAATGGAGGTCTATGGCGCCCGAGGCAGAAAGGTCCATAAAAGTCCACAAAAAACGTGTCAATACTCCTCCATACTGCTCGTCCAATGTATTCCAAGTGTCCTGAGTGGGTAGCGTCCATAATTTACTTGAAACGAAGTCATTTAGAATGTTTTAGAGCATAAACAGTAGTGTATAGGATTTCCTAAAAGCGCGTTCACGAGTCTACGGAAACCGCGGCAGACCAAACCAGATGAAAGTGCGCATTCAGCGTCTGCTCTGCCGATAATGCAAGCGTAGAAGAAGAAATTTGCTGTTTACCTGTGCAAAGAAAGAAACAACGAAAGAAAAATGTCTGAGGACTTCAGTGTTGAGGAAGAGCATGAGTTCTTTGCCGAGCTGAATGCGCACTTTCATCTGGTTTGGTCTGCCGCGGTTTCCGTAGCGTCGTGAACGCGCTTTTAGGAAATCCTATACACTACTGTTTATGCTCTAAAAACATTCTAAATGACTTCGTTTCGAGTAAATTCTGGACGCTACCCACTCAGGACACTTGGAATACATTGGACGAGCAGTATGGAGGAATATTGACACGTTTTTTGTGGACTTTTATGGACCTTTCTGCCTCGGGCGCCATAGAATGTCAACAGAAGCCTCCCAGATCTCCAGATGCATTTGAGATATCAAAAAAGTACTCCAGAGTGTTGTTCAGCATGGAGGTGAGTAGAAAATGAAGGCTAATCATGTTTTGGGTGTACTATTCCTTTAAGCTGAATGTTCCTAATATTCAAACCGAGAGATTTTAATTAAATGTAGTAAAAGATAGAGCCAGAAATAGAAGGAAAACACTTAGGCTGATTTTGTTTTTTGTATTTTTCCCTTACAGATTTTTATTTATATTTATTATCATTAGAGTTTTAATTCAATTAAATTTATTTCTATAACGCCAATTCACAACGCAAGTGATCTCAAGGCACTTTACACTTCAACCACATCATCCAGTCAAATTGATTCAAAGATTTTATAGATAAAAGATAAATAAAAATGAGACAAGAGAAAGGTAACAGATCAATGTTTTATCTCTGTTTGCTACACTGCAAAAACTGACCTAAAAACAATGAATGATTACTCTAAATAAATGTATTTGCCGTTAATTTGAGCAGTAAAAGAAGAAAAGGCAACGGACCAAGTATTTTTGCCCTTAGAATTAAATAGTTAGATATTATTCACTTGAAATTAGTTACTTACTCTTATTCTAAAGATAAATCATCTTCTTCATTTGGAAGATTGTCTCACCTACCTGCTCAAATAAAAGAAAAGTACACTCATGTAAAAAAAAAAAAAGTCTTTGATTAAATATTTGCTGTGTTTTGAATTTTATATTTTATGTGGCTCTTTATAGTAAATAAAACCATTATTCTTCATCTGGATCTCAATGCTGAAGGTAATCCAGTTCCTTTCTTGGCTGAATCAACAGCCATGTTCACTTTCTGCAGAGAAGACATTTTCCGAGCTGTACAGAGCTGCAGAGCTTTGCAAGAAGCAGTGAATCTTCTTCTGCTCAGAGGTGCTTCTGTTTTAGATGCTGTGATTCAGTGGCGGCTGGTGGAGTTTTCTCCAGGGGGCGCTATAAAGTCAAAATAGATACCAGAAACCAATCAAACCTATACTGAGTTATCACTCCGGTATATTTATATGAATGCCAACAACAACAAAAATTAGAAAAGCACTTTTTAAAAACAAAAACATAATTAATTTGTACATACATTTTGCCCTTCTGAGGCTTTATGAAGGTAAATCTGTGTTTTGCATGGTCCAATATTGTGTCACAAACCTAAAAAAAAATGTACCAGTTTAATAATGGAGAAGCTATTTGTTAGCTTTAGATTTTTTTAATATATAAAAACTTTATTTTCTAAGAATGTGTTCATTTAATAACAACTATGCAAATTAACAAACACCCTGAAAAAGTAGATTATATTCTATTATTTTCCATGTGAATCCCAGATTGTTCTTTTCCTTTTTTTAAAAAGTGCTTTTAATCAGTCCTAGCTGTCTTTATCCATGCTGGCTCAGATCCTGACGTTTGAAAAAGGAGGCAGGGAAAGCAGAAAGCCTTAGCCTCGCTGCATCCAGTTCCTAACACCATTTCTCCATCTCTCCTATCCCGCTACTCAACCTGTCAATCCGCAAAACATCTGCGCTGTGGCGGGAGGTAATGAGCAAGAACACTTCCTGTCACCTCAGGTCGCCGCCTAGCCGCGCCCCGCGCCGTCCTTTACGTTTGTACTGCAGAGGAGCTACTGCGCATGTACAACTTTTAACAAGAGTCAATGGCCAAGGATTTATGTTCCCTATGGAGGAAATATGTCACTGATCCTACGAAAAATGGAATGATGCTTTATTAGTCATTAAAGATTAAATATTTATCTTGCACATCTAAATATATATAATATATTTCAATAATATTTTACATTTTGATTTAAAGTTAAATTATAATTTTTCTTTTTTTTATGTCTTAATCAGGGTCATTGGGTGGGTGGGGCAGTGCCCTAGCGCCCTCTATTGGCCAGCCACCACTGCTGTGATTTCATCTAGGGTTCAGCAAATACTTTGGTGAAGTCACATAAATCTATCCAGTAAATGTATCAGAAACTGTGCAATTAAGTAAAGTAAACATTCATAAATTAATTTTCTTTGCTGATTTGTTATGTATAGTGTCTATAAAGTCAAAGCAAGCTGCTATCTTGTCGTCTACCACTCTTTGAGTGTTCCGATTGGTGAAACATGCGTTTTATCGCTGAGACGTGGACAGAAATGTTAAGCCGTGTTTTGGGTCGTCTGCTTCTCTCACCAGTGTGGCTCAGGTCTACCAGGCCATCGAAGAACGACTCACTTCCCTGAAGACCGACACGTTCAGTAAGACCCGGGAGGAGAAGATGGAGGACCTCTTTGCCCAGAAAGATGTAGGCGTTGGATCTCCCTCCCTCTGGTAGGTGTGAACCTCAGCTTCGGCTCATGGTTGCTGTCTGTGAGCGCAGATGGAGGAGGCAGAGCTGCGCAGCTGGATCGACAAGCTTCAGGTGCGGCTGCAGTCCTGCAGCCTGGACTCTCCTCAGCAGCTGCAGGCCATCCTGGAATCCCTGGTGGTGAAGAAACAGAGTCTGTGTGAGATGCTGCAGTCCTGGAACAGCAGGTGGGAACCAGCCTTCCTGGATGTGATTCATTAAGCAAACTAGACGAGAAACCAACCTGTGGCCTTAAGGGCCCTGTCACACCTTGCCGATTTAGAGAGCGTATACCAGACGTCCCACAATCTCCTAAAACTTTCTATTTATTTCTGTTCAATTTTGGGCGTATATATAGAATATTCATAATGAGCACAAGACTTCTCTCCAACAACAGCCTAACTGAATAAAAGATGTCTTTGATCGCACTATTAACCTAGATACTGTTTACTGACCCAACCCCCCACCCCCTAATAAACAAAAAATAAAAAAAAACAAAAAAAAAGACGAAGAAAGAAAGAACATTTGCAGTTGCAGAAGATTCAAAGTCATGTCTGCTAGGAAGTTTATTGGTCATGGCCGTGGGCGTGAACGCAGGGCGGATCCATCACACTCTCCTTCACGCTCATCCTATGGTGGGGATGAGGTCTGGAGGAGAAGTTCCTCATTGCTCTTGGATAAGCTGAACGCCACAACTTATGAGTGACTTGCAGTTAACGTATGTCAGCGATCATATAACTTACTAGGGCTTTAAATAATAATCGTTTTGTATCGATGCATTGATCCAACAGCCGACGATCCAATGCATCGATACGTCTGCAAGATAATCGATTCATGTTTTTTTTCCTCCGGTCTATTTTTATCCATTTGCTCCTGGGCGTAATTCTCCCTCCCGTGCTGCGGTGGCGCTAAACCTATTTTGCCCTCCTACCTCGCTTCCTGGTTATACTGCTGCAGCAGTGTGTTGCAGTAAGCATGACACAGAAATTTTTGATTTATGCTAAATATTGAAGCGTGGTCTGTGCTATAGGCTGTGGGTCTAGATACGGCCGAGGCGGCGAGGAAGTGGGGGCGAGTTTAGTCCGACGACGGAGGGACATGAGGGCCAAAAAGGGCGGAGATCCAGGAGGAAAAAGGGTCCCAGTGTTCTCTCGCACCTCTCTCTTCTAGTGGGTCAAACTTCACGAGTTGTTTTCCGCAATTTCGGTCATAAAAACAAAACAAGCCGGCCTCCTGTCTGCGGCACTGTCTGCGGTCAGCTACAGTTTGGGAGAGGAGTAGTGGAGCGTCTGTGGAGGGGGGGGGGGGGGGGGCGTCTGGAGCCGAGGTGTTGCATTGCACTGATTATGTGCATTTACTGTTGTTTCTAAAAAAACAACTCATAAAAAATATTACAGCATTGACTTATTTCAAATTTGAAACATTGTCTAGCCAGTAAGGTGTAAAAAAAAAGAAAAAAAAAGTAAACAATCGAATCTTATCGTGGTGTTTTTTTGAGTATCGAAAATAATTGAATCGTTGGGTCAGGAAGTCGATGTTGAGTCGAATCGCCATGATGGATGTGATTTACACCCCTATAACTTACCTGTAACTTATGGCCCACGTATGGCATAAGCTGGCATATATTGGGGCATTTTGATCATGCTCAAAAGTTCTGGACGTACTTGCCGTATGTCGACGTGTGCCAGCGTGTTTCAGCGTGTTCATAACTTATACAAAACGTACCCATAACTTATCAAACGTATGCCCGCATTTTTGCGAGATTTTTCGTACATCAGGCTGGCTAACTCGTCAAGGTGTGACAGGGGCTTAACGAAAGCTTCTGTTTTTCAAAGCTTGTTTTCTTCTCAGACTTCAGGATCTGTTCCAGCAGGAGAAAGGCAGGAAGCGTCTGTCTGTCCCCCCGAGTCCAGGGAGACTCAGACCCAACACTGCAGAGGAGGCTAAGGTGGGTTCAGAGGCTCAGGTAACTGGTTCCCAATTCCGATATGAAATGGTAGCAGAGAAACATGCAGAGCGGTTTTAGGGCAGTTTATCACCTGAGATGTTTCTGTGTGGCGCTCTATTCTGTCCTTTTCATTTGATACTGATGCTGTGTTGCTGCCAATCATTGAATAGGTGTTTTAAAGCTTTGTGTGACACCCAGGGCGCCCTGGACTCCTCGCCTCGGAACCCCTCTCCTGTCGTCCAGAACGGGGAGAAAGGTGGGGAGACATAAACCCACAAATAGTTTTTTTTACTGAGGATTTATTTATATTTAGTTTTAATCTGATTTCCTGCTGCTTTTCTGTTTTTTCGTTTCACAGAGGACCGCCACCTCTGCCCGCTCCCCTCAACCAGCTCCACCATGCTGCCGTCACCTGGAGACCCTGGAGCCGATTCCTCTGCAACCGGACCCAGTTTCAGTGAACAGGACTCTGTCAGCATCCCAGAAGGTTCGCACTCGGAGACTCACACCTTCGCCACAGCCGTTCTTATTGTTGTTGCCTGTTCTCTTTACGTCTGGGTTCTTCTAACCTCTAGATGTGTTTGACGGCCACCTGCTGGGCTCCACCGACAGCCAGGTGAAGGAGAAATCTACCATGAAAGCCATCCTCGCCAACTTCCTGCCAGGCAACAGCTACAACTCCATCCCTGTCCCGTTGTAAGTGCCGCCATCAGAGCTCGTCCTGCGATGGAAGACTGTCAGTTATCTGTCAACTCCAGCCGATCAGACAGAAATATTTGCTGCTGTTTGTTTTGACAGCGATCCAGATAAACACTACCTGATGTACGAACACGAGCGGGTGCCCATCGCAGTCTGTGAGCGTGAGCCGAGCTCCATCATCGCCTTCGCTCTCAGGTGACCTTTGACCTCCCTGCCCTGCTTATGTGTTTGTTTCAGCTCAGCCTCACTAACGGCTCATTCTGGTTTTATGTCCTCTAGTTGCAAAGAGTACAAAACGGCGCTGGATGAGCTGTCCAAGGCGTCGACTGCAGCCGGAGACGACGTTCCACAGCAGGCTGGCAGGTAGGACGGCGTTCAGCTGGATGAACCCACCGGAACCTTACAGATAGTGGGCGGAGCCTGATCAGGGTTCAGGAAGTAACCAATCTGAGCAAAGTTTGCTTCTAGAAAGGAAGTCTCCTTATTTCCCTAATCCACAGCTTCACTGCAAAAACGATCTAGAAATAAGAAAGGGGAAAAAAAAAAAAGTGTATTTACCCTTAATTTGAGTAGATATATAAGATGATTATCCAATGGAATGAAGATTTTTACTCTTAAAGGAAAACCGCAGTCTGCGAGGAATAACCAATGGATCATCATTTATACCTAAAACTAACATGTTCGCCATGATTTAATGAATTTAGTGTTAATCAGTAAAAAAAATAAATATAATAATCATCACGATCCCTGAGTCTGGGAGCGGCCATTTTTGCCAAAATATAGTAACCCCTCCCTCCTGCCAGCAGTGACGTCACGGTGCGGTAAGCCTAGCGCCATTCTCCCCGCTTTACAAGCAAAATCAATGGGAACTACTAGACACATCTGCAATCAACAACAATTATTGAAGATTTCCAGAGGACTTCACCATTGAAATTCACCAGAGCTATAGTGAAACTGACAATGCCCACGTGCATGGCAGCTGGATATTGGAATACATCGGGTAAAAGTGAAAAAAAAAGAGTTATTCCACATTTCCGATTTCTGGCCAGAGAAAAAACCCGTAATATGTAGCCAACATTTGGAAGAAGAATGTTTTCAAGATGACTTGGATAATAGCGCGTTGTGACAAACACCAGATACAGCACTGGGACTTGATCAACAGCCGATACCGCACCGTGACGTCACTAACCAGTAGGTGGCAGTAGTGTTCTCTGACAAACATGGATGCCTCCAGTAAAGCACATTCACAGGAAAATTACTCTGAATTGTAATATGTAATAATTTAATATTTAAAGTACTTTCAGAAGTTTGAATTCTGAATATGACCAATCTTTTCCTTTAAAGTAAGATAATTTGATTAAATTCACCTGAAATAAGACAATGCAATGATTTGGTCTTGTTTTAACCCTTTAAAGCCCGATCCAAGAATAAAACAAACAGAAAATAACTTTTTTTTGGTTTGATGTCCTTATTTGCCCTTTTAACAAAATATGTAAAAAGAAAAAACAGAAATACATTTTTGATATTATAATAATTTATTACTATGCGATAAGTCAAGATTATTTTTTGTGTAGTCTTATACTGGCTGTTATCAGCCAGTATAAGACTGGATCAGGTATACATTATACTGGATCAGGTATATCTGATTGTGTACAATAGGATTTTGAGCAAAGATTTTACCATTAAATTATGCAAAAGGTGTCAGATGCAAAACATTTCAGAGACCGTATGTATCAAATATGATACATTTGGCATTATAGGGTTAAATGTAAATGATATTGTTCCATTTTCAAAGTGTCTCACTTACCTCCTCAATTCAACATGTGGAGATAGGAAGCAGGGACAGAGGCATTTTATTGACATTAAATTTATTAAACGTCCTCAAATTGAGAGATAGGACCCTAAATGAGACAGCATTAGTACAAACATTTATACCTTACAAAAATCCCAACACACACTCCCCCCAGGGGAACCAACCCACCCCCCTGCATAAAGAACTTTCTCACACTTGGAAAAACGAGGACAAACAACTTGAGTTCATCGAGGCCGTTCCCTGTTAGGTTAATATATCTTTCACTGGCCGGACGGATCTCCTAATAACATCATTCCTCCCCTTCATGCCATGAAGGAAGCTGTGTGACTCATTCTTATCTCTCATAACCTCTGTTTCGTGCCTGTGAGGCTAAGAAAAGACGCATCTCAACATTTTTTACTCAAAGAGAAAATACAATTATTTTAGGAAAAACTGACTTATTTAGATTTCATTTATTTGCAGCATCTTTGAACAAAAAGCCAATAAATCCCATGAAAAGGTTTAAACTGTATCATTACTCCAATGCAGCTTCTAGGAAAGTATCTTCTGTAATCTTTTCTTCCTCTGGGTGTCTGCAGTGCAGAGAGTCGGGTGAGGAGCAGCCCTGCGAGGCCCAGCGATTCTCTTTCATCTCAGCAGAGTCGCAGCAGCACCGACGGCGAGCCGCTCAGTACGGACTCACCAGTTCCCACCTTAAACTAAATCCCAAACGGCTTTCAATGCAGACCGACGGTGTAAAGTGGTTTGAACTTTTGTTCCATTTCAGAGGATGCTGATTCAGCAGATAAGCAGAAGAAACAGACCGTAAATCCGCACATCGAGCTCCGTAAGTCTGCGTCCGCTGAGATTCCTGTCAATCATTTTCTCTGCTGAAGTAGAAACATCTTTGAGGATGAAAATTCAAACATTGTAAACAGAATCAAATATCAAGCTGCATCTTTTATAACTGGCCTGGATTATAAACGAGCACATTGGGTTTTTTGGATAATTGAAAAAACCTTTATAGTAAAACGAAGAGGTATAAAGTAGATTTTTAAAATCCTGCTATAAGAGATGCAGCTTGATATTTAAGTTGCAACCAGTGGGGCTTGTACCTCAGGCACGGCTAGTGCGGCGGTTAAACCGATCACTTTAGTTTTATTTGTTCTGCATTCTCTCCATTTCCAGTTGTATTCGCTCCTTAGATCTTCGAATGCTGGTGGATCTGGTCAGTCTCTGTTTTGAGAATGTGCACAAAACTTGTCCCACTCTGTTCAACCATTTCTTAAAAACTGCTGATGTAGTCTTGCTGCTCCCTGCTGTGTGGCGGCATACTCATCTCTGAGAGGAATGACTGTTCCTGTTTGGCTGTGACTCCATCCTGGAGAGAAATATCAGCTGTGCTGCTGCCATCAACACCTTTGTTTATAGATGCTGGAGATCGGCCTGTTTTCCAGTGCGGTCCTGTTTCTCTGACCATGACTGGCTGGATGTGCTCTCTTCGTCCTCTGACATGGGAGTTGGCTCTGAGCTCGTCTGCCTGGCTGTGTGTTTCCTGGACGGGGCCGCCTTTTACAGCTGCTTTTTGTATCTCTGCTTCTGTCTCCTTGAACCCCAGTGGGCCTCAGCAGATGGCCGCTCACACTGAGCCTGGTTCTGCTGGAGGTTTCTTCCTGTTAAAAGGGAGTTTTTCCTCTCCACTGTCGCTACGAGCATGCTTAGTGTGAGGGATTGCTGAAGAGTCAATGAGTCGATGCAATCAACTGGTTTTCCTTAGATAGAAAACTTTGTATCAATTTGACTGGATGATCTGGTGAACTGTAAAGTGCCTTGAGATGACATGATGTGAATTGGCGCTATATAAATAAACTGAATTGATTTGAATTACTGATGATGCATTAAGTTAGAAATTCTGTCGCATAATTGAGGAAACTGGTTCTGGAAAGTCTATTACATGCTTTATTTAGATGTTAACTGAGGTCAGGGGACCCTGGAATTGGACCAAACCAAACATGAAGCTTTCTGACAGCTTTGATGCGGAGCAGCCAGATGCTGCTTCTGTTGACGCCTCTAATGGACTAAAATCTAGAAGTGAAGCCATGAGGCTTCAGCCGAGGTTCTGGATGTGGAACCGGTCTGCTTGATGTCAATCCATCTGACCTCTTCCAACTCAGAGTTCTCTGACGCCAACGCCAAGTTCTACTGTCGGATCTACTACGCCCAGGAGTTCCACAGGATGCGTGATGAGATCATGGAGAGCAGCGAGGAGGACTTTGTCCGCTCGCTGTCCCACTGCGTGAACTGGCAAGCCCGGGGAGGGAAGTCTGGAGCAGTTTTCTACGCTACCGAAGGTTAGAGAGGAGGTGCTTCTCTGTGGGAGGCTCTTTGATCCGTTTATTAGGTTTAAACTCTGACTGAGGTCCTTTTCTCTCCTGTCAGACGACCGTTTCATCCTGAAGCAGATGCCCAGGCTGGAGGTCCAGTCCTTCCTGGACTTTGCTCCGCACTACTTCACCTACATCACCGGAGCTGTTCAGCAGAAGGTTTGCTTCCTTCCTGTTTCCGCCTTTGCTTTGAGCGTTTCCACCTGTAACCGTGTCGGTTCCACAGCGGCCGACGGCCCTGGCCAAGATCCTGGGGGTTTACCGGATCGGATACAAGAACTCCCAGAACAATACGGAGAAGAAACTGGACCTGCTGGTCATGGAGAACCTCTTCTACGGCCGTAAAATGGCTCAGGTGGGGTCCGGTAGCAGCTGGGCTGTGGTCCTGGTTCCGTGCAGAGTTCTGACCCGCTGCGTCTCCTCCAGGTGTTTGACCTGAAGGGCTCGCTGAGGAACCGGAACGTGAAGACCGACTCTGGGAAGGAGAGCTGTGAGGTGGTTCTGCTGGACGAGAACCTCCTGAAGCTGATCCACGACAACCCGCTCTACATCCGCTCCCACTGCAAGGCCATCCTGAAAGCCGCCATTCACAGCGACGCCTACTTCCTGTCCAGCCACCTCATCATTGACTACTCCCTGCTGGTGGGGCGAGACGACGCCACCGACCAGCTGGTGGTGGGGATCATCGGTAAGGTGGGGGGGGGGTGGAGACTTTGTGTTCTGATTCAGAAGCCTGGTGTTGATTGGAGGGGGGGGGGGTCCTCTGCTGTCTCCTCCAGATTACATCAGAACGTTCACCTGGGACAAGAAGCTGGAGATGGTCGTTAAATCCACTGGAATTCTGGGAGGTCAAGGTAAAGGTCACCATGCTGCTGTCGCTACGACAACCGAGACCTGAGCTCCATTCCTTCTGATGTCTTTAAATAATGGGGAGGGGAGGGAGGGAGAAAGGGAAGGATGCAGAAATGGAGGGAAGGAAGGAAGGAAGCAAAAGAGGGAGGGAGGAGACATAGGAGGGCAAGGAAGAAAGGAAGGAGAAGTAGGAGGGCAGGGAGGGAGGGATGCAGAAATGGAGGGAAGGAAGCAAAAGGGGGGGGGGTAGACATAAGAGGACAAGGAAGGAAGGAAGGAAGGAGAAGTAGGGCAAAGAAGGAAGGAAGGAAGGAGAAGGAGGGAGGGGGGAAGGATGCAGGAAGGAAGGAAGGAAGGAAGCAAAGGGGGGGCATAGGAGGACAAGGAAGGAAGGAAGCAAGGAAGGAAGGAGAAGTAGGGCAAGGAGGGAGGGGGGGAAGGATGCAGAAATGGAGGGAAGGAAGGAAGGAAGCAAAAGAGGAAGGGAGGAGACATAGGAGGGCAAGGAAGGGAGGAGACATAGGAGGGCAAGGAAGGAAGGAGAAGTAGGAGGGAGGGAGGGATGCAGAAATGGAGGGAAGGAAGGAAGCAAAAGGCAGGGAGACATAAGAGGACAAGGAAGGAAGGAAGGAGAAGTAGGGCAAGGAGGGAGGGGGGGGATAATGTAGAAAAGGAGGGAAGGAAGGAAGCAAAATAGAAAGGGAGGAGACAGGAGGGGAAGGAAGGAAGGAGAAGTAGGAGGGCAGGGAGGGATGCAGAAATGGAATACCCTGGAAACTTGGACAAAAGAGGCCAGAAGGAAGGAAGGAGAGCGGGAAGAGGGAAGGATCAGGGATAAAATATTGACCGACATTCTGCTCTGGTTCTGAGTCCTGCTGTGTTTGCTCTGCAGGGAAGATGCCCACCGTTGTTTCTCCTGAACTGTACAGAGCGCGCTTCTGTGAGGCCATGGATAAATACTTCCTGATGGTACCGGATCACTGGACTGGCTTGGGTATCAACTGCTGAACCAGGCTCTCCATCCACAGACGCCTGCTTCAGTAGAATTCCACAGTATTCATCGGTTTTTACATTCCTGGATGCACTGCAGCGACCCTCAGCTTCCCAGAGAGGCTCTGGTTTTATATTTGGTTCCATTTCTCCAGTGGATCTGCAGAAACATTCAGTCATTTAGTTTTAGTATGCTGAACAAACTGCTTCCTGTAATTTAATGTTTGTACATGTACAGAGATTATGTGACTAATAAAAGATTATTAACACCGAGAGCTATTGGTGTATCCTAAGATTTACTAACATGGAGCTACTCATCATTCATTCTAACTCAGCTGCTCCATTCAGAGAAATCCTTCCGGATCTCATAGAAACCAGATTTAGTCCATCTGGAATGGATTTGGGCCCAAAAGGTCCTGATTCAGATCCACACTTAGAGCAAAGACTCAACAGCAGTGGTGGGAAAAGTACAGGCATTTGTTACATAAGTAGAAGTATTGATACTGCAGTTTAAGTAGTTTTTGGAGCACATACTTTTTCACTTTTACTTGAGTAAAGAGGTGAAGATGATGCTTCAACTTTTACCAGAGTGTTTTTAAAGTATAAAAGTATAAAGTAATCTTTAAAAAAAAACAGTCAGATGCCACTATATGAACTGAAAGCTCAATTTTCCGACTATTTACAAAAATTCTTAGAGATAGGGCCAAGGATGAGGGAGGTCTTGTTGGTCTCCGTCTCCCGATACGTTCTGGCCTGGGTCCGACCTTTCAGACGTTTCAACATCTTGTTCTGAATCCCACATTGTAGCATGGCATAGACAATTCACGTTAGCAGTTTAAAGAACACCTGCTTGCTTCTGATGATTTCCTTTAGCTAACCAATGAGTGTTTGCGTTCTATGACTCATCCAATCACACTAGTTTTCACTAGATGTGGGTGGAGCCAATGATCTGCATTGGATGGAGCACATGACAGGAAATAAAGATTTAGAAACATTAAACCGAAGCCAAGAGTAACGAGTAACGTTTGTTTTAAAAATGTAAAGAATAGAAAGTACAGATACTGGTGTGAAAATGTAATGAGTAGAAATCAGAAGTAGGAAGAAAAATAAGTAATGGAGTAAAGTATAGATAACTGAAAAGTGTACTTAAGTACAGTAAGAAAGTATTTGTACTTCGTTACCTGACATCTTTGTTCAACAGAACCCATTAAGCCAGGCGTACACTGCGATTTTTGTATTTATTTTTTTGCCCTTTTCAGGCTGATTTTCCAGTCGTGTGAGAATTTTTCAATCTGGCCGACTTTCAGCCTGATCGTGCCTCGTGTAGAGTACACGGAGGAACAAGGGGCGATCAGCCTCTTACGACCACCTCCTGATCAGGAATCGGGGGGTGAAAATCAAACATGTTCCAAAAGGTTCTTCTTCCTCTCAGTCTAAAGCACAGCAGCATGGTGGAGGTGTGAGTGAAATGGAGTTCTTTCTGTCAAATTGACAGACCATAGTAGCCACGTTTGCTCAGCCATGTCTTTGTCCAAATATGTTGTCGCCTTTTCTTTTTAGGGCTTTCAGCACCGAAATTGCAGAAATTGTCAAGGCAGCGCGTTTCACTCTAGTGAGCTTGACGTGTAAAGGGGCTGTTTGTGGCCCTGGTTGATGTGCTGAAGAATTTCAGCAATGAACCTAGTATGGTTCTTAATCCATACAAGCAGACTAAGATTTGTTAAGGTGGTGAATATAAATACTGTTGAGGTTAAATGATAATAACTCCCCATTGTCCTAGAAATGAACCAACACAAACACAGTGACTTTTCTGCAGAAGAGGAGAGTGGACCCAGACTGAGAATTTCACTCCCTCAATGTCTTTGGTCAACTCTGCTGGGACTTCTCTGTCTCCCCTGCCTTTATTATCAGACTTATAAGGAGTAACAGGAAGGGTCAGAAGTTTACACACGATAAAGCACGACGGTTTCTTGTGTAGTTTGATTGCGGGTGATGATCAGTCACCTGCAGCAGCATAGCTGGATAAGGCCAGACTCTGGGAGAAACATTTGCTCTGCCTGTTTGAAGTTAAAACAACAAGAACATTCCTAGCAGGCCAAATGCCTGAAGTTAATACATATAAAATGATATTTACATTTTTCTAACAAATACTATCTTCAAAAAAGTCTAAAAGCAGGACTGAGGAAAATACGTTTTTGAACACCCTGCTATTTTGCACGTTCTCCCACTTCATGAAGGGGTCTGAAATTGTCATATTATCTATCTATCTATCTATCTATCTATCTATCTATCTATCTATCTATCTATCTATCTATCTAGAGAAGAGTTCAGATAGTTCTTTGTAGTCGTATCATACAAATAAATAGTTACACAATAATACATTGTGATTTTTTTTTTCTTTTTTATAGAATAAATCTCTCACAGTGGACATGCACTTACCATGATAGTTTCAGACCCCTCCATGATTTCTAAGTGGGAGAAGTTGCAAAATAGCAGGATGTTCAGATACTTATTTCCCTCACTGTATTAATACTTTTACTTCTACTAGTATTATAGACTATGATACAAACATTACTTCTACTAGCACCACTACTACTAGTAGTACTGGCTTTTAGTACTACTAATTCTACCAACAAACACCTATTTATTATATTTTTATTAATATCATTATTATTATGAACAAACTTCATTCCTAAAAAAAACATAATTCAGTATCAGTGTTGCAGCGGGTAGCACTGCTGCCTTGCAGCAAGAAGGTTGTGGGTTCGATTCTTTCTGCATGGAGTTTGCATGTTCTCCCTGAGCATGCATGGGTTCTCTCCGGGTACTCCGGCTTCCTCAGACAGTGCAAAAAACATGACTGTTTGGTTGTTTGTCTCTGTGTTGCCCTGCGATGGACTGGAGATCTGTGCTGGGTGGACCCCGCCTCTCGCCCATAGACAGCTGGAGATAAACACCAGCACCCGTCACGAGCTCAGCTCAGGATAAGCTGGGGTCCATGCATCCCCGATGGATGGATGGTCTACTTTTTTAGTGCTTCTTTGTGCAGCTTTGGTTTTTAAGGTACAATGTAAGGCTTGTGACTTATATCTCTGACTGCTGCAGCATCTCCAACCAGAAATATTTACGACATATTTCAACTTTATTTTAAGGATGTTTTTTTGGAATCACAAAATATAAAAAATAACTTTGACCATTTCCTCCTATGTAATCTTCCTAATCTTATATCCACAAATGTAAAACTATGATTAAACCATCATGTGTATCTTTTTAAAAGGAAGCAAAAACTTATTTTTATACATCGTCCTCAAATAACAAATGCTATTAAAACTTTATCTTTATGCACTAAATTTAAAGCATTTATGGAATCCCTTTACATGCTGCTATATGTAACTTTATTACTATCTTTACTTTTATTTAGCTATTTTTCATTTATTTTTGTTCAAACCCCTGAAGATGGTTCACTGAAAATTGTATTTCTTTCTTTTTTTATATTATAATAATATTCTAATAAAGTTTATATAAAAAACTATTTTAGATAAAACATTTAAAAACATCTCCAAACAGAACAGGTATTTTAATAGTCTTATATTTAAAACAATGGGAACCACGTTTGAACAAAATGAAAACGTAGCAATAAAAGCTGAGAGACGGTTGGATGAGGCAGAGAAATGATTCTTAGAGAGATTTGTGAATTATTTTATTTTTTCATAAAGCGAAGTGAAAATCTGCGCTCGTCTCCACGGTCTGCCCCTCCTTTAGTTTCTTTTTAGCTAAAGACGATCAAATAAATTTTTAATAGTTTCTAGTTTATAAAACTATTTTGTGTCCATCTGCAAGATGTATTTTCTCCATTTAATAAATCAAGTTTGCACTTGATAAAGCTGAGATTTATCATCCAACAAACTTTCTGAAGGACAAACCAGCTGGAATGAAATGAATGTGTGTAAAATAAAGCCACACAAATGCACAGTTTTCATTTTTGTTCCTTTATTTGAAATGCATCAGCAGGTTTCCCACCTGCCTGGTGTCCTCGAACGCCACGCCGATCAGTTTGGAACTGTCCGACGCTGAGGGCCATCGCCAAAACGCACCGCTGCATGTGCCCAGAGTGTGTTCTCTTTTCAGTTCATCAGAAATCCTTCTACAACCCGACCTTAGAACCGTTCAGACAGAATCCTCCCTAAACCCTGGAAATAAATAGCTCATAAACAAAAATAAATTGCACATAAAGAGTTTAGATTGGAGCAGTAAGCTAACGTTTTGTGCTCGTTTTGGTGATAAAGGTGTCATGCAAGATTATTGTGAATGAAGACAAACAGAAGGCAGAAACAGGTTGAATGAGACTTTAAAGGAACAGAACCTCCTTCCTTTCAGCTTTTTCTACACAGCTGGTTTCAGTGTAAAGAAGCAGGATGTGATTAAACAGAAACAGTACAGGGCCACAGCTTCACTGAAGAGTCAGATCCAGATCAGCTAGAATGGCTTACAACCAACAAAGCAGCTCTATTCATTATTTATTTATTTTTTATCTATGACCAAAAACAGAGAAAATACCATCAATAGTCTCAGGGATGAATTTCTTAATACAGAGACGGTATCAGTCCATTTAGGTTTTTCTCTTCAGCCTCAGGACAAACTAATCTGGCTCAACACCAAACACAGAGAGAAGTGATCTGCTTAAAATCGTTTAACGGATCAGTGAAGGAACTCTGGTTCTGAAAACATTTCATAAAATTGATTTGATATTTTTTTATCTAACCGTCTGAATTCAGTTCAGCTCTGTGGATGAAGAGGATCTCTCCAAAGATTTCCCTAAAGCATCAACACATTTGAAAATGTGTATTTGGATTAAATAGACATTTAAAAAATTTGACGGGATTGACTGGTTAGCCATCACCTGGCTTCTGCTGTGTTGGATGTGAAAAGGGAGCGAAATGTTCTGCTTTTCATTTAACGTTTTAATAACCAGTCTAGAAGTTACAGTTCTAGAATCAACTCCTTCATATTCTGTTTAGAAATAAAATAGCTTATTGAAAGTAAGTGACAGAAAACAGCCTCCAGTGGTTGACCTCTGAGATAAAAACTCCTCTCCAGGCCTCTTTTCAGGCGAAGCCGTTCCCCTCGACCAGTTTAAAGGAAAAATCGGGACATATTCAGAATTCAAACTTCTGAAAGTACTTTAAATATTAAATTATTACATAGTGTTTAATAAAGTGTTTTTAATTAAGAGTAACTTTCGTTTGAATGTGCTTTACTGGAGGCATCCATGTTTGTCAAAGAACACTACTGCCACCTACTGGTTAGTGACGTCACGGTTCTGTATCGGCTGTTGATCAAGTCCCAGTGCTGTATCTGGTGTTTGTCACAACGCGCTATTATCCAAGTCATCTTGAAAACATTCTTCTTCCAAATGTTGGCTACATATTACGGGTTTTTTCTCTGGCGATGTCCGTGGAAGATCAGGAATCGGAAAGGTGAAATAACTAATTTTATGCCATGCACGTGGGCATTGTCAGTTTCACTATAGCTCTGGTGAATTTCAATGGTGAAGTCCTCTGGAAATCTTCAATAATTGTTGATTGCAGATGTGTCTGGTAGTTCCCATTGATTTAGCTTGTAAAGCGGGGAGAATGGCGCTAGGCTTACCGCACCGTGACGTCACTGCTGGAAGATGGCAGGATGGAGGGGTTACTATATTTGGGCAAAAATTGTCGCTCCCAGACTCCGTGATTACGACGAAAATTTTAATTTTTTTACTCATTAACTCTAAATTCATTAAATCAATGCAACCGTATTAGTTTTAGGTATAAATGATGATCCATTGATTATTCCTTGGTCCTTTCCTTTAAGATTAAAAAAAAGTTTTCATTTGTCAATCTGCTTTATCCAGAATCCTCAAGTGGAAAAGTTTTTGTTTCATTTAATTTTTGTAAAAAGTCTCCTTTAAGGAACCTTTGGCTATTCGACTATTAATCTATTAATCAAAAAGAATATCGACAGATTAACCAATTTGCAAAATAACCATTATTTTCAGTCCTACAGTGAAGGCAGGAGTCTTTCTCCCAGGTTGGAAAAATGGAACCAAAGGATTTATCATCATATAAATGCTTCTTGTTGTCTTTATAAGGCTTAAAAAGAATTACTGATTAACGCTAAATTCATTAAATAACATGTTGGTTTTAGGTATTGATAATGATCCATTCATTATTCCTTGCTTATGGGACTTCTCCTTTAATGTCTCCTTCCTGTGCTGACCATGAAGAAGCTTACAGAGAAAAACCCAAATGGAGCCAATTTCCTGGGAAAGATTCAGGTTGTTGCTGCAGATCCCAGAACATTTGCCTTGATTCTCTTACATGTTCTGCTGGGGTTGCATTCACCTCCTAAACGCTCCACGTTAGAGGAGACTGCAGACATCGGATGATTCCACGCAGCCAGCAGCAGGGGGCGCCGTTTGTTTTACAGGCACTTGTTCCCAGGGCATTTCTATGGTTACTGGGAGAAAAATCCACCACCAGACAAAGTGACTGACCGAGAGATGAAGACGGGATGGTTCTGTTAACAGAAACGGCAGCAGTCAGCACCCCCCAGTCAGAGACGGGTGGAGCAACCTGACCTACAGGCTGCTTTCAGGGCAGTTCAGCTAAACTGAGTTTAACTTTAAATCCGTCAACATTTCCAAATCTGTAGAGCTGAGATGAAAGAAGTGTAGGATGGGACATTGGTAGAGCCTCTAGCACCATGTTAAACCTGAAGCTATGGGGGTCTGTCTGAGGCGTTTCCTGCCCCTCAGTCAAAGGTTAGTCTAAACAGGATGGAGGTTCGAGCTGCATCGCAGCCGCCCTGCAGACTCAGAGGGAAGGAAAGACGTAAAAAACTCTGCAACCACAGTATGTGATGATGCAGACCTGCAATCCAAGGCCGCACTCTTTCTACATCCTGACCAATCCTTTCAGGCTCCACCTCCAGAGGTTTCTATTCCCTTTGAACAGAACATTAAGAAAAACTTCTAAATGTTTTATTGGGGTTTACTGCGACAGATCTTTGCAAAGGAATGCATAATTGTGAAGCTTCTCCCCGATAATGAAACACGTCTAAAAGAAGTTTACATGCAGAATTAGAATCAGCTGTTCCATCAAACAGCATCCTGCAGACCAAAGAACAAAACACACCAGCTTAAATTAAAGGAGAATTCACTTATTTAAAGAAAAAATGATTTTCCTAGCAAAAACATGTCTAAAAATAAGTAAAAATGTCTTCAAAAAAGTTTATCTGCCCTTAATTTAAGCAGGTAAGTAAGATGATTTACCAATGGACAAAGTATTTTTACCTTCAAAAGAGGATATTGGATATTATGCATTTTAAATAAGAGGATTACATTTTATCTAGTTTAAATGTAAATTCTCTTTTTTCTCTGTAAATGGACTTACGTCCTCAAATCAAGAGAAAATACTATTATTTTAGGAAAAATTATTTCCTTTTTTTTTTTTTTCTTTCAGAAACTAATAGCAAAGTTCTTTACAAATCGTTACTTTATGAAGGAGTGGAAAGAAGAGGATCTTTTCTAACCAAAAACGCAACTAACGCTTCACTTCATCCTGAGCACACAAGAAAACATGGTGGAGGCTGCATCATGCTGTGGGATTGTTCTTTAGCAGAAACATCAAGAATGTCGGAGTGATGGACAGCTGAGGCGAAATACAAGAAAAAAAACGTTTCTATCATTAATTTAATAGAGAATGGGGGGAAAATGGCCAATTTTGAAAAGATTTGGGAACCATGGGAACCATGCATTGTTTTCCTTCAGCTTCACAGTTATGCACTTCTTTGTCCTGATCTATCCCGCCTAAATACACTGAGGAGCGGCTGCGTCACAGAAATGAGAAAAAGCTCTCAGCTGAGCGGACACCTAGATGAAGACTGATCAGACGGTGAAAATTGGTTTTCCTCATGTTTAAAAAAATCCTTCTTATTAAACTGTAACCGTAACCCAGAGGAAAAACATACAACAGGATGAAGCCGTAACACATTTTGATGAAACCAAAGCAGACCTGAACAGTCTGGCTAACCGGGTGCTCGTAGAAAACAGTCCAACTTCGTCGATTCTTAAAATTCAAAATAATTATTACAATATTTTTATCCAGTATTAAATAATTTGATATAAAAACACGCAAAAAAAAGGATGAAATAAACGACAACGCTCCCTCGAAGGATTGCCTCGCCACACACACAGACACACACACTAACCCACACCACCCTATACACATCATCATCATCATCGACCTTCCTCTTCCGTGGTTCCTTCCTTCCGTGCCGCTCGCCATGCTGTACCTGGTATATTGCAGCCAAATGTCACTTTTAGTCTTTAGTTTATGTTTTAATGCAAAGCTGCACTGACGTGAAAAAAAAGCCGGGCTGTAGGATGGGTGGGGGGTCTGTCTTGCTAACTTTATACATATTCATTTATATACTTCTATTGATCCTCATGTTGGATTAAACGTGTAACAATGAGGAATAATGAGGATTAATCTGAGATCAGGAGGAAAGACTGTTTGCTACTTGCTTAGCATCCAGGAGGGAATGTTTTTGGGACTAAGGAGAGCTAATCAGACCTGATTGGTCAGTTCCGTCTGTGAGCTTAGAGTCAGAGGTGCTGCCTTCTACCAATCACTGGTCAGTTTGGTGCTTTGGTCCCGTTTGGGGGGGGCGGGAGGCGGGCCTCGCCGCAGCGTTGCATAGCCTGAGATGTTGCCATGTTTGGCTGATTGGGAGCGCCCATGGTGCCGCGACAGCGTGTGGGAGTGCCCCCGCACCCCCTGCTGCTGCAGGAGTTCGGGGGGAGGAGGGGGGAGGAGGGCCATGTCGTCCATGGTGCCGACCGGCTCCATCTTGGAGGAAGGGATCAGGGTCGAGGAGGTGAGCGAGCCGTGGCGCGACACCGACTTTCTCTTCAGCGTGCGGTTGAGGTCCTCCAGGAAGTGAGGCTTTAACGCCAGAGAGACGGGCCCCGCTGATTTTGGGGAGGTGGGGGGGATAGGAGAGGAGGAGGCGGAGTAAGAGGAGAGGGAGGGGGGCGGGGTTTGGGACAGAGGGGGAGGCGAGAGAGGCAGTGAGATGGTGTTGTCGTACTGCGCCGTCATGTTGCTGCTGCGCCGATTCAGCGCTGGAGGGGGCGCCGCCCCTTTTTTCAGCGAGCCTTGTTTCCATGAAGAAGGCGTCGACGACGAAAAGGAGGATGTTACCGACTGCATCTGAGGCTGCGGGTTCACCACGGCAACCTTCGGAGGGTGGTGGAACTCCGAGGGGTGAGGCGGGGGAGGGAAGAGCTCAGATTCGGGCGGCGGGGGAGGGAAGTAGTCGGCTGACGAGTCGAGGTGAGGATGGTGGGAAGGAGGAGGTGGTAGAGGAGGCGACGGGAAGTCAGGCTGCTGCTGGCCCGTCTGCAGTCCCTGGATGGCCAGAGGCAGACTGGCCAGGTTCAGCTTCCCTGGCTTGGGGGGCGGAGCTGGCAGGGGGGCGGAGTCTTTCGAAGGAGACCCCGTCGCTGAGGAAGAGCTGGACGACGTTCCCGTCTGAGGAGCCTGGCCGAATTTACTCAGCAGACTCTCCACCTTCTTGGGCCTGTCGTCCTGAGCGTCTTTGATGGAGGAGGCTCTCTGCGGGGCCGGGGGGGGCCCACGCTTGGTGGACCCCGTAGACGAGGTCGAGGGCGACTTCTTGATAGGAGAACCCGTCTTGGAGGAGGAGGTGGATGAGGGGGGAGGCGGAAAATCACCTAAAGAGCCGTCGGGGGGAGGCGGGGGGAACTCTGGTGACTGTGGAGCTGCTGCACCCCCCACCTGCCACTTCGGTTTGGCCTTCACCGCAGGAGGCGACAGGGGGGCGGAGCCAGAGGTGGGCAGAGGAGAGGAGTTTCCTGGAAACTGATTGACGATCTGTTTGACCAGTGAGGATGTAGCGGCTGCGATGGAGATGGAGGAGGAGGAGGGGGAGGGGGAGATGGACAGGTTTTTGGAGGACAGGCTGTGCTGTTTGGGCAGAGTGGGAGGGGGCTGATTGGGGGAGTGTCCTGTAGAGAAGCTCTGCTGCTTTCTGACAGGACCGTGTCCAGGAAATGATTGGGTGGGAGACACGGGGGAGAGGGCGATGGGGAGGGAGGAGGGGCCTGACGGTTGGGGAGCCGTCAGCGGGGCGAAAACCCCAGAGAAGGTCTTGGGAGGAGCAGGGGGGGGTGCGTTAGGTGAAACAGGCCGGAGCGCTTGGAGCGAATTTGGGGGAGAGAGTTCAGTGGGAGGTGGTGGGGGTGAGGCGTCCTGCAGGGCGCCGGGCTGGAAGTCATAAACCATGTTTGGAAACTTCTGGGACAGGAACTGCTGCAGCCCCGAGTTGGACAGCTGAGGGCAGGGGTTAGGGAGGGGCTCCGGAGGGGGAGGGGGGGGCAGGCCATTGGCATCAAGGCTCTCCGGGGGAGGAGGGGGGAGGCAGTGGGGCTCCTGCATCTCTTCCTCCAGTAGAGGAGGGGGCGGCAGAGAGCTGGGGCTCGGTGGACCAAACTTCAGGGCAGCCATGGCGGAGCCGGGAGCCGGCGCCGTTGGTGGCGGCGGAGGAGGCGGGGACGGAGGGGAGGTCCCGTACGACGCCGGCAAAGTGTTGAAGTTCTGTACTGGAGGGCAGGCCGGGCTGGTGCCACCAGGCGTTTGGGTCCTGGGCTGGTTCTGACTCTGCAGACGAGCCAGGGTGCTGTACTTCACGTAGGAGGAAGGAGGCGCCGCCTGGTGGGCCACTCCCACCACAGGGGGAGGAGGGGGGGGAGGCGAGGGCGGGGACGGAGAGGAGGAGTCTTCCTCAGACGGAAGGAGCCCATCGGTGTAGCTGCTCCGCGAGGGAGGGGTCTGAGGCTGGGGGGAGAGGCTGGGTATCTGGACTGGGATGGGCCTACTGATGGTGTCCATCTTCATCATCTGTGGAGAGAGGAAGAGGAGGAGGAAGAGTAAAACAAACAGTCAGAACTACGGAAGGCATATCTGAAAAAAACAAAAACAAAAATCTAACATCCAATCCAAGCCAAGATAGTCAAACCATCAGCTTTGAAGGAAATTTGGGGTTTTTGAAGAAAGATTCCTTCAAAATGTTATAAGCAGTTGATGTCGGACCAACAGTCAAAAACTCGTCTAATATCTTCGTTCAACAGGAATAAATAAATCTAATTTACTCAAGAAAGAAAACCAGCCACAGCAGATTTCTGCTACCTGCAGTAAATAAAGGAGCTTTCTACCACGGGTGGAAAATAAGCTGCTTATAACACTGGTCCTGATTCTCCTGGAGGTTTCCTCCCGTTTAAAGGGAGTTTTTCCTCTCCACTGTCGCTACAAGCATGCTTAGTGTGAGGGATTGATTTCCAGGCAATGAGTTGATGCAATCAGCTGGTTTCCCTTACATTTAAAATTTGACTGACTGTATGATCGGGTTGAATGGTCTGCATAAAGTGCCTTCAGATGACATGCGTTGTGAATTGGTGCAATAGAAATAAACTGAATTGAAAATTAGAAGCATTTTTAAAGAAGCATATTTTAAACTCTGATTCAGTATCAGCCAATGAGAGGACAGACACACTCCTGACCCCGCCTCCAGAGAGTTAATGACTGTGGAAATTTCAGATACAAGGACGCTCCGAGAATTTGTCCAAAAACCCATAAAGTCACCATGGTGACGGCTGAACACCCCAGTTAAAAAACCCCCAAATCCACCACATAGAGACAGCTGAAATCTAGAGACACACGCAGAGTTCTCTGAAAGGGGAAAGGTGAGGAAATAAACTAGCTGCAACTATTATTAGAAAAAAAAAATCACTAGGTCAAATATCGCAATATTTTATTTAATTTAAAATAAGGCTGAATGGATCCATGTAAACAATATTTCTAGCTGAACATCCATTTATCCATTGTCTTACGTTTATAGAACTCTCAAACCTACAGCCACTAGGTGGCAGTGCACTGCCGAAGAGCTTGTTAAGGTCTGAACACAATCCGATTTTTTTTCCATTTCACACTTGACTACATATAGATAGTCTCCAGCTAAGCAGGATGAGCAGATCTGTGCAGATTTCTTTCACTTCTGTCTCTGTTCCAAAAAAATTAAAACACTTTGCCACATTTCACTTGGACAGATTATGAAAAGTTATTAATAAAACCTTTTAAAAACCACCTGTGCAGCTATAAAGCAAAGCCCCACTTAACGAGTCTGTGGAGCAGAACAGATAGAGAATGTTCATAGATTACAAATGAGATTATGAGATCTACGTCTAAAGAAAAGAAAATCACAGCAATAAACGCCGTGGGACGGTTTCTATGCCGACTGAGTCAGAGAGGTGATTATCAGAGAGATCTGGGAAGTTTATCCAAGTTTTTCTTTCTTTTTTTACATAAAGAGATGAGAGATACGCTGCGCCTACCTGCTATGTCTGAGCCTTGTTTTGTTTTTGTGAGGATCAAAGAGCCTCACATAAGAGCTACATTATGGTTTAAGTTTTGTTCTTTAAAGTTTCATTCATTGTTTTTGCACCAGTCTGTCCTGCTTACTATGAACGCGATGTGTGACTTCAAACTGACTCTTTCGCCGTGAGATGAACAGATTTTATTTTGTATGTCCCCTCAAAGCGGATGTGTTTTACTTTGTAACCGCGTCTCCCTTCCTGTCATGACATTGCTGCTGAATTGCTGCGTAGTCTGACTGAAGTAAACCTGGGCTCTATCTCAGTCAGAGCTACGCTGACTCCTTGCAGGAACTCATGTTGGGTCTGATCATCCCCATAGATGAGCGCTAAATGCCATGACCTCATCCAACACGATTTTCTGTTGGATCAGACAGAAAATTGGATTCGTCTGTTCTGGCTTTTATTCTGCTGCTCTGCTCCAGCAACAGCAGAGCAACAAGATCTTCTAAGGATTTTCCAGGGCTATTTTATAAAAATCGCAATAAGCTGTTTTTGTTAATGTATCAGGATGAATCGTACCATATCAAGTCACATCCATGAATATTGTTTTCACTTTTTTCCACTGTCACTAGGTCCCTCTGGGTCCTGATGAAACAGGATCACCATCACAGAAGTTCAGTTTACAGATCTGCAGCAGCCGCATAACGCCGTTACATCAACAGGGAACCGTGGTCTCCCAGGACTCCATGTTTAATCGATGCCGTGAGGAAACAACGGCTGTTCTGTAGCCAAACCTAGCACGGCGTGCCTAATAGTGAACGTACACTTCTGAGAGCCCAGTTGCTGATTTTAAGGTTGCTGGTGAAGATTCTCAGTCATCCAGGTCATATTCATTCCAAAAAAATGTAAAAAACAAACCCTTGGACTTTGTTTCTAAGTTTAAAGACGTTTTGCTTCCCATCCAGGAAATTTTTCAATTCCAAATGCTTTATATAGTAGCCCAAAAACTTGTTTTGGCTCAGAAAACATGCAAATTAAACATGATGAATGGGTCCGATCCTTAGGAATAGGGAGTCGTTTTGGTTCTTTGGTAACCTGCAATACTCCATACTGGTCTATGCCTCTGTAAGGGGGGGTCACTAGCAGTTGTTGGCCCTGCTGCCCTGGCAAGATGTTTTGTCCTCTGCATGGGGCTGAGGGTTGAAGTGATAGCAGGTAGAAATCAACTCTGAGTCCACCCCCTCTGTTTAAGGTTGTTTTTTCTTTCTTAACATAAATAGCTTCCAGCCGCCCGTCGTCTTTGTCCAAAATATGAACATTCTGGTCCTCAAATGAGTTTCCTTTGTCCTAAAGGTGCAGGTGGATACCTGAGTCTTGTCTCTAGGATGTCACTCTTCTGTGTTGGGCCATGAGTCTGTGGAGAGGTTGTTTGGTTTCTCAAATATATAAACCACCTCTGATATAAAGGTTTGAATTCAATGGTAATTCTGACATTCTGCATTGAAAAGCATCCTGGATGAGAAGCGAAATGTCTTCAAACTTTGAAACAAAGTCCAGTGTTTTTTTATTTATTTACTTTTTTGCAATAATTTTAAGGTTGACTGAAGAGTTTGTGAGTTTTTTCATTGGAGGATTGGCAGAGAGAACCGGCCATGAAAAGCCTCCATCACAGCTTTCATCTGATCTGGGTTCATTAAACCAGCGCTGACAGTCTGAAAATATCAGCTTCCTTATGAACTCCCTTAAATAAAATTTAGCAAGAGTTGTTCAAATAGAGAACTCAAGTAACAACCAGAACAGCAAGCTAATAAAGATCAGCAGCTGGCGGCTCACATGACGCCTTTCCCAGTTAGAAACACATCCTGTCATGAAAGAACCCTCTGATATGGAACGCTTCCAGCCCCAGATGTTTTTCTGGGAAAAAGGGATCTCACAGATCTGGACGCTGGACGCTTCAACATCTGGACGGAAAGAACTCGTCCAAAAACACCAGCTTCGTCCTCCGTGTGGGAACACACTAAACCCGCCTTTAGTCACACCGTGCAGCTGTTTAGCTGTTTAGCTGGAATGTCATGGTCTGCTTTTAGAAATGGGAATGCTGACGGTGGAAATCCAGCAGCCGATCTCCTGCTGCCCATCATTGCATTCAAGTATTCTAGGCTGATTAACTTTTTCTATTGTCCCCATATTACAATGAAAGAGTGAAGATTCTGCCAGGTACCGAGCCATGGGTGCTGAATGCTCTCCTTCCCTCATAGGTACGCTTTCTCTTTAAGTTAGTTTATCACATTAAAACCCAATGAAAGCTTTTATGTCAGAATATCCCTAAATTTAAAGGTGCACAGTCACACCTCATACTGTAACGCACTGTGGTTGCATGTAAAGTTAATCAGCAAGATTATCACCTCCTGCTGTGGTGTTATTTGTTACTTTGGTGTTTTACACTTTTCTTTTCTTTTCTTTTCAGCCAGTTTGTTAGTAAATAAAACCCTTCTTGTACAGCAGCAGCCATTCAAAATGTCCCTTCCCAGTCAAACGGCAGCCGAATGGCAGCCCGCTTCCCAGCAACTCCCAGCAATATCCCCTCCGACTTCCAGCCACTGGAGGGACCCCCTCTTGAATATTTTTTTACTCTGACTCCACCCTGTCACTGAATTACAGGGTCTGACCAGCAGATGACGCTTCTCTTTAGATCTTAATGTCCACAAATCATAACAGAAACAACATTTTAGATGTTTAAAAAGGAAATGTTGGGGACCAGCCAAGGGCCCATCAAGGAAAGTGGAGAAATTATGAATGGCTACTACTGGATATTATACAATGACAGTAAAGGAACCATGCTGTGCATGTGCACAAGACATAAACAAGGAACTAGCCTACAGCAGCTAGTTGGGTTTTATCTAACAGCTGCACCTGCACTTAAAATAGGGTTTAAAATAATTTAATCCTTTTTCTTTAATTCCAATAAAAGGCCTATGACTTTTTTAAAGTTTATTTCCCTGGGATGTTGTGATACGCTCTGGGGTAGAATCACTAGAAGTTAAATCAGCGGCAGATTGCCTTATTTAACTCATGTGAGTTGCTCTTTCACTACTTGTCACTTCAGAGTGAGGCATCGCAGGACGGTCAGGCTCTATGAAGTACCTCCATCAGTCGTCACTATCGGGCTTTCTGCTAGTTTTGCATTTCTGCAAGCAGAAGAGAGCACGGACGTTCAGGAATTCTATTACAGGAAAAGTCTGCTCATATTTAGAATTAAAACTTCAGAAAGTACTGTAAATATTAGATTATTACAGACTGTTCAATAAATGATCAGTGTTTTTAATTCAGAGTAATTTTCATTTGAATGTGCTTTACTGGAGGCATCCATGTTTGTCAAAGAACACTACTGCCACCTACTGGTCTGTGACGTCACGGTGCGGTATCGGCTGTTGATCAAGTCCCAGTGCTGTATCTGGTGTTTGTCACAATGCGCTATTATCCAAGTCATCTTGAAAACATTCTTCTTCCAAATGTTGGCTACATATTATGTGTTTTTTCTCTGGCGAGAAGTTCGATGGCAAATCCTCCCTCTTCAAGTTGGCGATCCAACGACCAACCCGTCCGTGGAGGATCAGGAATCAGAAAGGTGGAATAACTCTTTATTTTCACTTTTACCCGATGTATTCCAGCATCCAGCTGCCATGCACGTGGGCATTGTCAGTTTCACTATAGCTCTGGTGAATTTCAATGGTGAAGTCCTCTGGAAATCTTCAATAATTGTTGTTGATTGCAGATGTGTCTAGTAGTTCCCACTGATTTTGCTTGTAAAGCGGGGAGAATGGCGCTAGGCTTACCGCACCGTGACGTGAATGCTGGAGGATGACAGGAGGGAGGGGCTACTATATTTGGGCAAAAATGGCCGCTCCCAGACTCTGTTATCGCGACGAAAATTATTGTTTTTATTTTTTAATGATTACATTTATTAAACATGGCAAACATTAGTTCTTGGTATAGATAATGATCCATTGATTGTTTGTTGCTAACCGCACTTCTCCTTTAAGGCTCCAAAAAGAGGAATAAACACTATCAAGATGGACGACAGATCTACAAGACCTTATTTTATCAGTATGAAGCAGGTTTTTTATGTCTGAATAAACAAATAACGTGATTATGCACCTTTTACAAGTATAAATATAAGGCAAGGCACGATAAAGGAAAGCCAAACTAATAAGGGAGCCAAACACAGACCATCTCATCTATTTATACTTTATTTATCAGAAATGTTATTTTAAATAATAAATGTTTTTCATCCATGTTTACTGCTCTAATCAGTCTTCACTCCAAACAAACGGCAAACAGACAGGCTGTTAAAGATTTCACATGCTTGTTACATCACTTCCTGTCTAACCTCCGCTGCCTCCTCCTCCTCCCCCCACACAGAGAGGGACCACCATTCGTCCTTTCATCTTTAAACGCTGCTAGGAAAGCAGAGAGGAATTGTGGGAAAGGGAGAAATATCTGTGAGGGATTGCTTGTGTTTGCGTGTTCAGACCTCTCCTTGCGTTCCTCTCCTCCAGGCGTCGGAGAAGATGGAGCTGACCACACTCTGGGAGCGGGTGTGTCCTGACGAAGCCAGCTCTGAGACGCCGCTGTCTGATTGGCTGGAGTGGTTGGACTGGGACTCTACAAGGTTCAGGAGAGGTTTTTAGGCAGCAGCAGTTTCATGCGGATCAGCGGCTAATCGTGGTTTATTGTGATTGGAAGGATCTGAAAAGAGGGGGAAGGACAGACCTGGAAGGCTGGAAGAGCTGGACCCAGACTTGATGGAGGAAGAGGAGAGAGAGGACCAATCATAGGCTGCCTCGGTTCTCCTCATGGCTTCCTGGAAGTTGATGTACAGCTGCTTCCCGTACTGACAACACAGAAAAGGTCACAGTAATGATAAATCTGACCGGGATTTGTTTTAATCTTTAATGTGACGTTTATAGCGAGAAGAAAAGTTCTGATTAAGTGAACCGGGCCTCTTAAAAAAACAGACAGTGTTCTTGTTTTATTTAGCTTTAGGATTTAAAATGAATCTGTTGCTAGGCAGCAGATGGACGGCCGTCCAGCTGGTCGTCAGGCCCAGCCTGTAAAATAACTCGCAGTATTTATCTTTTAACAAAAGCATTCATGTTTATTACTACAATAGAAGTATAAATCATACTGTTTAAAAATACTTTTTTAAAATTTAGAGGATCAACTTCAGCTTTTTACTCCAGTAAAAGTGTAAAAGCACCATTTTTAAAACTACTTAGAGTATAAAAGTAAAAGTAATGCTGGCAAAAAGTTAAGGACAGAAGTTTTACTGCATTTTTCTATAATTCTGGATGATAACTTCCTTAGACTTCATTTTCTTGGTTTTATAACTAATGATAACAGATCACATTTAACTTTGCATCATCTTAAAAAACTATTTATTTTATTATATGATGAACAACAAGTTGGGGCAGCACCGAGTCCAACCACAAAATAATTTAATTCTCTGGATGAAACAAGTTGTTTTGATATTTTGAGCTGAAATGAAATAAAACAAATGAGTCAATGTTGAAAATCTAGGCAGTAGAAGTAAAAAGTTTTCTAAAAAATAATTACTCCAATTAATTATAGATGTCCAAGATTTCTAATTAAGTAAGGTAGCAAAGTATTTTACTTTGTTCCTGGACACCTCTGTCTTTAAACTGATCGGCCGCGGTTCCTCAGACCGGACGGTACCTTTGCGATGCGGATACTGTTGATCCATTGCTGGAGGGTTCTGATGTCATCACAGCACAGGTACTTGATATACTGAGACTTCCTCTGGATCTGTGGGTGCTAAACACAGTATTACGAATCAATGACCACTTTATTAACGTGCACCCATTGGTGTAATAGCAGTGTCTGGACACTAGGTAGCAGCAGAAGACCGTTTTACCTTTAGCACCATGCAGTAGTCTGTAGGAGCCTTGTACTTGCTCTTGTAGTCATGACCAAGATAAACGTTGACGTGATCCAGCTGGAGGAAACAAACCAGGTCCCTGGAAGTCTGAAAAAAATGAAGTTAAAATAATAATCCAGGGAGGAGATGGTTTACACTCGCCTCCCTTTGTCCACCATCACCCACCTTGGCCTTTCCCTTTGGGACGTAGTAGATCCCAGATGCCCTGAGCAGGAAGTAGCGTTTCTTCCATGACTTTTTTCCGTCCTCCTTCAGCCACAACACTCCCTCCATCTCAGGGACGGACACCGAACTGCCTCCAAAACACTCCTGAAGCGCAAACGGATTGATTTCACCTTGTTTCCACCTGTTTCTGGGTCAAAATGGCAGCACTGACTCACCTCTAACAGAGCTTCTTTGTTTCTTTCTGCCATCTCACACGTCTCCTTCCGCCCCAGTAAGTAGTTCTGCAGCAGGTGGGGCAGCAGGTGAGAAACCAGGAGCAGATCTTTGGCGTAGATGAACTGTGAGCGTGTCGCTTACCTGCGGGTTTTTGAACAGGGCGTACTTCTCGATGCGCTCGGTGAACATGAGGCGGTTCTGGCTGTCTCTGGTCCAGTTCAGCAGGTTCTCCACCAGGTTCTCATGATCCTCGAAGATCCGTTCTGCAGTCAGGGAGACATGTTTGACTGATGCGATCAAGAATGGATGCCTAAAAATCTCAGATCCTTTCATAGCATCAAGTTTTCCACCGCTTAGTTGGCTTTATCATCAAAGGGCAACAAAATAGGAACTTTGTCAGTGATATTCTCTTTAAAGCAAACTGACTCCATCAATAAATAAGCATAAAATCAGTCAGTGATGGCGGGAAGACAGTTTAATTTTTTTATAAACTTAAGGTCTGGCCTTTATCTCATGTATTACTCTGTGCTTCTGGTCGCTATCTTTCCAAACTCTGGTTGACATGGTTACAGGTTGTGGGGGGTGTGGCTTTCGGGAGGGCGGGGCGTGGAAAAGCCAAAATAGGTAGTCGAGAAGAGGTCTAAAGTTTCTGGTTCCTGTTTGATGAATCTAAGAGGAATTTTCCTGCATAAAAGGCAACAAACATGCAGCGGACGCGTTATTAGTTGTTTTAAAATGTAGCATAATATTAGCCTCGTGAGACCATCCTGATCTCGCGAGCTTTCAAGGTTTCACTCGCAGATCAGTCTGGCTACTTTCCGTTAAAGAAAATTTGGAGCCGTTCACCAAACGAACGTGCAATCAGCGTTGGCTTTGAGGCGGGTTGAGGTGTGACGCAAAGAGAAGCGCGACAGTTCAGTCTAAAGAACATGGCGGCTTCAGCGGATGAAACTAGCGTTAGCATGGCTATCGAGCAAGTTTTATCGGAATTACAGAGTATTTCTTCACTGAAAGAAGAGTAAAACACTGCTCTGGAGGGTTTTCTCAGAGGAAAAGATGTTTTTGCTCTTCTCCCGACTGGTTTCGGCAAGAGTTTGATCTATCAATTGGCTCCTCTTCATCGTCGCTCTGTTAGTACGTCATATGCTTCGTTGATCTGATTGGTTTATTTGGCCCGTCTATCACCAACATAGGCCAATCAGCTAACCAGTATTTTCGCCCCTTCCCAAAATTACTTCAACGGAAGGTTTCCAGATGGATATGCGGAGCAAATCCATCTGGCGGAGTCAGGTTAGCATAATAGGAGACCTTTAACAAAAATACTGACAGACGAAAACTTGTTTATCTTAAATTTGAAATATATATATTTTTATGTTGGTATAATTACTGGTCTAAGTGGGTCACTCTGTCAGCTAAAGGCATATTTTACAATCTTTAAACTCCAGGTAACGAATAATCGATTACCAAATTAGTTGATGATTATTTCAATAATCTTCTAATCCTGATTAATCCGATTTATCGCTTGAGCCATAATCCTCTGTGACACATGCAAACTTCCTCACCTTTATATGTTTTGGAATTTACAATGAAGAGCTACATTTGTTTTTTGTAGATCTTTTAAAAGCCTGCAGTCCAGATTTGATCCACGCTGTTCGTCATTCAGCTTACCAGGCACTCGGTCAGAGTATCATCAGCATACATGCAGAAACAATGTTCATCAATATAACAGCTCCTTACAGAAACCCCATAGTGCTGACAGCTGACTCCATCATGGAGTCCCAGATTTAGGCCCCGTCCACACGAAGTCAAAACGAACACGAAACGCTGATATTTTCCAAAACGTTTGCCGTAAAGACGGAGACGTAAAATAAATGTGAGCGTTCACACGAATGCATGAAAACGCTGCAAAATGTATGCCAGGCCTGTAAGTGGCGCTGTGGTGCCAAAGCAAAAATAAGCGACGAAATGTTGGGCATGCGCACTAATATTTATACATGGTTGCCCTGCGGGTCTATTTTCGTGGTTAGGTCAAATTCAGGTGCTGAACTATGTGGTCGATATTGCTCTGTTCTTCCTGGAGATATTCCAGAAGAAGAAGATTCTGTTGTAAGCCCGACAGCAGGGTGAGTAGCATGAGCAGCAACGGCGCCATTGTTGTTGTGATGTGTCGCGCGTGCGTGTTTAGAGGCGACGCTATGACGCATGCGTGTAAAAAAAAAAATGCGGTTAGAGCGTAAAGATGGAAACGCGAAAACGGCGTTTCAGAATCTTCCCACTCTGAAGGCTGAATAAAAAAAAGATCGTTTACAGACCCCCGAAACGCCGGCTTCGTGTGGATGAGAGGCTGGTTTGGTGAAAACTTTGTGCGTTTAGGCCAGGGTTCGTCTTCGTGTGGACGGGGCCTTAAACATTTGCTTCAAATAAAGTCATTTAAATTAAGTTTTAGGCACTAAACCAAAAAAAGCGACATTTTAAAAACATATAACAAAAGGAAATAAAAAAAAAAGGGTTTGAACCATTTTCTCCATAGGTCATAGTGAAACATGATGGTTTGTGTGGGTGGGCACTAGAGCATCAACAAACAATTATTTTGGCAATCGAATAATCTGTCGATTCAAAAAAGTTAACAAGCAATCCACTGGACTTTTTTTCCATTCAGGAAACTTTTTCAATTCAAAATGTAAGAAACAGCGTTGAGTTTAAAGCTTTATAGAGTGGAACAAAAACTGTACTTTAAGGACAAAGGACTTTCTTTGAGGACCAGAATGTTAGCGATAGAGTTGATTCCTGAAACGGACTTAAAAATCTTTGAAAGGAGTTGAGCAAACAAATCTGAAAGGGTAGAAATTGACCCATATTCCCAATTTTCTTTAACACAGAAAACAGTAAAGATTCAAACATTTAATCTGAACATTGATTGTTAGAAAGAAGAAAATTGCTGCTGTTAACTCCAGCTGAAGATCCCAGTTTAAGGCTGTGGTCCTAAACACCTGCTGCTGGTGCGTCTGCCTCCGTTCTTTAGCTCAGGTAGCACTAATTCCCCTGATTACGTCAGAGTGGGTTTAAACCCTACTAAGGCTGAACTGGCCTGTAGCCCAGTTTTTAGAAACCCCTGTGGAGAGAGGAGAAGGAGGAAGGGGTTTGCTCTGACTGCTCTCCCTCCTGGACAGATGTTGTTTAGCAGGAGGCTACAGGATGTAGGTTAGATCACATGCATGGCTGCCTCAGACCTATAGCATCACTGTGTGTGTTAAGCCTGTAGCGAACACCCAGCCCTTTAGCAAAGCGCATCTCTGGCAGAATGACTGAGTCACTGCAGGACCGTCTAACTATGGAGTGACTGGACTGTTTGATGCACAGTTTACCTCAGCAGCATGGAGGCGGTGATGTTGTCTTACCTTTAAACAAGTCAAGTCTGAAGATTTTTTTTTCATGATGCAGCCATATTTTACAGAGTGTATGTTTTAAAATTAATGAAAGGAATAAAATCTGTAAACAGTTGTTTATCGGGACGCGCTGCTTTGCTTCACGGCCAAAAATTGAAATTTTAATAAGTAATATTTTCTTAAAATGAGTGCATTGTTTGTTGAATTGAGGAGGTGAGAGGGACACTGCTAATGGAACAAGACTATTTACATTTAAAGTAGGAAAAAAAAACCCAAATTGAATTGTTTTATTTCAAGTGCAGATTATCTAATTATCTTATTTTAACAGTAAAAATAACCATTCATTGGTAAATCATATTTTTTACCTGCTCAAATTAAGGGTAAATGCACTTAATTTAATTCATTTACTTCACTTCTTTCTAGATCGTTTTTGCAGTGTTTGAATGTTTCTTTTCTATATCGACTCATTTGGTGGTCCAAGTTTCATGATCATTAAAAGGGGTGAGTACTGGCATGGGTGCTGCAATGCAATACTAGGGTCGCTACTACGATATTATCGTGATACTGCAATATTGCTAAATATTTTCCCAGCTATCAAAATTAAATGTATGTTAAAGCTACAGTGTGTAACTTTTAGCGACATCTAGCGGTCAGGCTGCAGACTGCAGCAACATGAACATCTCCCCCCCCACCGCTTCTCCCCCCCAACAGTACGGCGAGCGTTACGGGACAAAATGTCTTCCACGACGTCCGCATCACCTACCTTCTCAAGTGATGAGGTTTGTTTACATAGATAATTTTACAGATAATATTTCATTAGTCTGTGTAGGGTATAGATTTCATGTAGACTTAAGATAATAAATATACCCGTTATTTTTTCTACATCGTTGTGACATTTTGGCGATCTCGCAATCACTAGTTTGTTGGCTCTGCGCTGCCGTAGCGCAAAGATGTCTGCCTCCATGGCTGCGAGACCCGCTCCTATGTAATTATAAATAACGAATTCTAAGGCAACGCAAATATTAAGGTTAAGAGGCTGAGCTCGTAGATGATGATAAATAACATAGTTATGTATAATATATTACATTTCTGACTGTATAGCCCTGTAATTATTACACACTGTAGCTTTAAATGCATGTTTCACTATATATATATATATATATGTATGTTGTTGTTTGGTGTTTGAGTCAGTCCACGTCTTCCACTGTGACTGCCTAAACTACAGAGATGGCGCCGTGCTGCAGAGCAAAAGGGCTCCATGACGCTATCTGCTAAAGTGGCGGTGCAGAGGTAGCCCATTCACGATATATATCACCAAATGCATTTTTCCTACAGCTCTAATCTTTACACAGTTTGTGCGTAAATTCAAGCAGTAAAATATTAATTAGTCATATAAATCAAGACGATGGTTGACCGGCAACCTTTGGAGGCACTTTAGATAATCAACATGCTAAGGTGTTTGAATCTTCATCAGTGCAGACAGAGCATTTGCATAACATGGCATGACACTTGATCATGTTTTTATCAGCTTAGTGCTAACACTACAATGATACATTGAATGGCATTTCATTGGATGAAAATAACCCTTTGGCCAAAAATTCCAACCTTAATTTTTTTCTTTAATCATAACTTTATACCAAAGGTGGGAGTTGTGGAGTCAACCTGTCACCTTTATGTCACATATTTTTTTAATTCACTGGTTCAGTGGCTGGGAAGAATAAAAACATGCCTCACAATATTGACACGTTTTTTGTGGACTTTTATGGACCTTTCTGCCTCGGGCGCCATAGACCTCCATTATTTGAATGTCAGCAGACAGCAAGAAGCCTCCCAGATCTCCAGATGCATTTGAGATATCAAAAAAGTACTCCAGACTGTTGTTCAGCATGGGGGTGAGTAGAAAATGAAGGCTAATCATGTTTTGGGTGTACTATTCCTTTAATGTCCACAAATTAAAAAAACAGAAAGAATATTTTAGGATAAAGATTGATGTTTAAAAAGGAATTGTAGGACCAGCCAAGGATCATAAAGGAAAGTGGGGAAATCTTGCATGGCTACTACTGTATACAACAATCTGCTCCTTTTTAAACCTTTTTAAACCAAATTTCATATTTATTGTTCTGCAGCTTTGTCAATCTTTCCATTTAAATTTATTTTTTAACTCTAGTAAGCCGTAATACATCACTTCTCTAATGCAATGAGTGGAGCAGGAGGGTTTAAGCATCTGGTTTCAGCAGTGTCAGGCTGCAGACAGGAAATGATGCATAAGCTGCTATATTTCCGTGGAAGTGGAAGATACCAAAGGGAGCTCAAAGCTGCCTCTGAGGGGAACAGGAATACCGACATGAAGGTCAGTGTGGAGCCACTTCTGGATGTAGTTCAGGTCCCGCATGTCCAAAGTCTGTCCTTATGGGTCAGGTTTAGGATTCTGTGCTTTAACACACCTGATTTAGTTTATTGTAGTTTAGCAGATTATTAATCAGCCATCAATGGAACTCAGCTGATCTAAAGAGAAGAACCATCTAAAACCTGCAGGAGAGTAGCCCTTTAGGAAGGCTACCTGTTAAAAAACAAACAAAAAAACAGCATGTTTTTAGGTATCTTCTTAATTGTGAAGCTTACATAAAGTGAATTCTTCCGGTCAAAGATTCCACTGAACTGATCCAGGATCTAGTTTCAGTTCAAGCCCTTCTACATTTAGCTCTGGCTTTCCTACAGCTAGCAATGAGAAATAAACAGCGACTTTTGATCCTGACAGACGAGCATCCATGAACATCATACGTATGTGGATGTGTGAACTCACCCATCTGAAGCTCTGTGATAGTTTCCACCAGTGACCAGTCTGGACTGTAACCACAGTGAGATTTATCCAGCAGACTGTCCAGAACCTGAAGCACAGGACACACTGCCATGAGTCCCACCCTGACTTCAGATCAACCTCTGATCCATTAATGAAACCAAAGGAACCGAAGGAAAACGGTTTTGCTGAAATAAATAATCCTCCCAGTTTTGAAATGTGTTGGAAAAATGTTTGGAGAAAACCAAACATCTCACATCCGCAGCAGAGCACGGTGGTGGCAGGCTGATTATATGGGATTGTTCAGCAACCTTAGAATCTGTGTACCTTCCAACCACAAAACTAACCATTAACTCTACAGCTTACAAAAAACGTTCAAGTGTAAAACCATAAAGCTAACAGCTAAAGGAAAGTATGGCGACTATTTGAAAAATCAGCCACCAAGACCAAGAGCTTCTGGTGCAGGAGTGAGAGGTTTACCTGTCTGACTGTCTGTCTCTCATCCACCATCATGGTCTTTGAGCTCTCGTCTGACAGATGAACACGAATCACCAGCTGTGAGGAAGAGAAGGAGAGCAGGTCAGCCGTCGGTTAGGGAGCAAAAGCTTTACAAGAATAAAATCCACAGAATCTGAGAGGAAGGGAGATAAAGTCTATGAGTCGAAGTGTATCGAGGATTATGGTTCATATTATGCAACAAAGAGCAGGAGCAGCTTTTAACAGCATTCTGACATTTTGATGAGCACCAATCCTGCAGCAGACTACAGTTTGACTGAATGTTTGGACCCAAATGTGACCCAGAAAAACGAAGCGAGTTCAGCTGAAGTCGCTCCATTTCACCAAGTTCAGTTCATCCATTCAGGAACATTTCCCTTTACTAGATCACACGCATCAGCGGATGACTGCAGACACTGGTGAAGTAAAGAGCCCCAACAGGAATCACTAACATAACTTCAGTGTTTGTCTGAGCCAGTCGTGATGGATGGTGACCCTCTCACATCTCAGTGCCCAGAGTTTATCCCACTCTGACTATATGAGCTCGGATCCATGGAGTTACCTGAATAATTGTCCACATTTTAAATGTCCTGATCTTGCTGTAACATAACCACTATGTTATTTTTCTCTTTTTGTATAAAGTACATTAAAGTGTACCGATGACAAACTGTCTTGTAGAACAGTTATGTCATTGGTAATATTATTTCAAATCTCCACTGGTTAAAAAACTAATGATGGGAATTAATATGCTGGGTTATTTTGGCGTGGAGAAATTACTTAATAAAAAGGGGCGTGTGCGTCGGCGCGCGCGGCTCGACAGGTGAGGAAGACGCGTACTGACTGGTCTGATTTTTGGTGGTACCACTCTTTTTCTAATCTTTTTGGGGGGGGTTTGCCGTTTGGATTTTTCATTTTGAAAAGGACTTGGGACTTAAACGCTTCCAGGATTTTACTTTGGGTTTGGAGCGTATGGAACTCCTGTTTGGACATTATTATTAAAAATAAAAAGAGACGGACAGTTTTGGACTTTCAATTATTAGGGATGTCTTTTTTTTTGTTTTTAGCGGATATAAATTGAGACTTTGAGTTTACTTATAAATTGGTTGTGAAGGTTTTTGGGTTATTTATCATTTATACTGCTCAAAAACATAAAGGAAACACTCAAATGACACATCGTAGACCTGAATGAATGAAATACTCTCATTGAATACTTTGTTCTGTACGAAGTTGAATGTTCTGACAACAAAACTATACAAAAATGAAACGGTAATCAGATTTATAAACCAATGTAGTGGAAATTACACTACAGGCTGATCAAACTTTTATTTTATGTCCTTAAATCAGGTCAGAATGACGCTCAGTATTGTGTGCGGCCTCCATGTGCCTCTAAGACCTCCCTACAACACCCGGGTTGCTCCCGATGAGGTAGAGGATGGTCTCCAGAGGAATCTCCTCCCCGACCTGGACTAAAGCATCCGCCACTCCTGGACAATCTGTGGTGCAACGTGACGTCAGTGGATGGAAGGAGACACGATGTCCCAGATGTGATCAATGGGATTTATCTCTGGGGAACGGGCAGGCTGGTCCATAGCTCCAATGCCTTCATCTTGCAGGAACTGCTGGAACATTCCAGCCACATGAGGTTTAGCATCGTCCTGCATTAGGAGGAACCAAGGGCCAACTGCACCAGCATATAGTCTGAGGGGTCTGAGGATCTCCGTACCTAATGGCAGTCGTGCTACCTTTGGTGAGCACATGGAGGGCTGTTTGGTCCTCCAAAGGAATGCCAGTGATGCCGAAAAATGTTGCAGGCAGTAGAACGTTCTCCACTGTGTCTCCATGTTCTGTCAAATGTGCTCATTGTGAACCTGCTGTCATCTGTGAAAAGCACAGGGCGCCAATGGTGAATTTGCCAATGCTGGTGTTCCCTGGTAAATGCCAAACATCCTGTACAGTGTTGGGCTGTGAGCACAACTCCCATCTGTGGAAGATTGGCCCTCATACCATCCTCATTGAGCTATTTTCTAGCCATTTGTGCAGACACATGAAGATTTGTGGCCTGCTGGAGGTCATTCTGCAGGACCCTGGCAGTGCTCCTCCTGTTCCTCCCTGCACCAAGGCGAGGGTAGCGGTCCTGCTGCTGCGTAGCTGCCCCTCTACAGCCCACCCCATGTTTCCTGGCAGCGCTTTCAGCCTCTGGACTCTACGCTGATAGACACAGCAAACCTTCTTGCCACAGCTCATGTTAATGTGCCATCTGGGGTAAGATGCACAACCTGATCCACTTGAGTGGGTCGTCGAGTCAATCTCATGCTACCAGTGTGAAAGCACCACCAACATTCAAAATTGACCAAATCATCAGCCAGAAAGTAGTCTGCGGTTCCCTCCTGCAGAATCACTCCTGTATCGAGTAAGTCTTGCTAATTGCCAATAATTTCCTCTAGTTTTTTATTCCACTTTCACTGGAGATTGATTGTCAATCAGTGTTTCTTCTTAAGTGGACAGTTTGATTTCAAATAAGTTTGACTTGATTCTAGTTATATTGTGTTACATAAATCTTTCCTTTATATTTTGAACAGAGTACTTAATGTTCTACATTTTGTAATGTCTAAAAAAGCGACACCTCTTGAAATTATTGAGTAAAATTACACAGCTGGTCTAAAACAAATGGAGAAAAACAATTGTGCTAAAAAGAAAATCCTCAACCATCAATAATATCAACTGATGCAACTGCACAGATCTGCTGTCATGCTTTCTGACTTGTGGGTAATACAGATTACTGTACAGCAGAGAGCACTGCCTGTTCAGTCAGTTTGCAACAACCAGAAATAAATATGTTTCCTTTGAAGGACCCGACTCTGCACCTTCGAAGGATAACAGCAGTTCCACGGAGCACGGGAATCCAATAACCAGACTGAGACCAACTTCACTGCAGTGAGGAGCTAGCATTAATGCTACATCACATGTAATGCCAGTGATGTAGCACTGCGCTACATCACTTTAACTTTAGGGATCAGATCTGTTCTCTGCGGTCTGCTACCTGCCTGATAACAATTCATCTCCGAGTCTGTGAGAATTTCCCTCCATTAATTTTTACAGTTATATATATATATAAAGATTAAAAAGCATGATTATTTTTCTTCAAATAATACTTAATATTAAATGAAATGGCCTCCAGTTGTTTATACTCTATCCTGGACAGCTGCAGTGTATTGGGTCGCCTTCAGAAGCCAGATTAAATTACAACTATTACAAGACATCTATAAATCTTAATCGTTTTCATGAGCAGCCCGAAGCAGTCAGACCAAAAATATGTTTTATTGCCATTAAACGTTTGCATGAATGAAAAATAAGTTCTATCTAGGTTACAGTGAAACCTAATAGGAATATATTTTCACAATCCAAAACTCATTTTCTATTGATGTGTGCACAGATTTAGCTATATTTTTTTTTGTTTTAAATAAACTGTTCTTAATTTGATAGTATGTAAATGTAAAGTTTAAAGTTAATGTATATTTAATTTTTTTCACGTTCTGATAATTTTGCTTTGTAGAAATTTTACAATAAAACTACATTGAAAATATAAATGATACTCATTATAAATGATAATGTGCATCTTTATAGCAGTTTTGAACTTTGTGTAAATTTCTTTTACGGGGGTGGGGGTGGGGGGGGGGGGGGGGGGGGGGGGGGGGGGCATATCAATGTTTTTCAATGGGACCCAAATGCCTGGCGGCACCCCTGCTCCTACACACCAGCATCACAATCTTTTCTCTCCGTTATACTGGATTTAAAGGCTCTAAAAACGGGTCCCATAGACCCGAACAGGGCTATGCACAAATATTTAGCAACTTTTTAGACCCTTCTAGTGACTTTCTTAAAAAAAAGAGAAACTAGAGAAAAATCTGGTGGCAATCTATTTATATATTTTCTGGAAACTTTGAAAACAGAGAACAGATCACTCCTGAGTTTGTGTAGGCAGAGAATAAATGAGTACCATGTCCTTCCAACAAAAGCTGCACTTTCTGTTGCCTTTTCCAGCACTATACCTGTGTGAAAAAATTCTTATCCTTGTGCTACGTTCAGAACACATGCAGCAGAAGCAGCAAATTTACATGCAAAGTCAATGGTTGACGTGCATCAAGGTGCAGCAAAAGGTCCCGCGGCGCGTCTGAGCAGCCGAAGCAGCGCCTCATGAGATTCTGACGCACGCCACGCACTTCAGGAGAAGCAACTGCTGGAGTTGGAAAAATTCAACTTTTGCTAATGAACGCGCCACATCAACCAATCAGAGGAGCTGATCTGGGAGCTGGCAGGGAGACAGACAAAACACTGCTGATGCAGAGCGCTGTGATCACTCCTCTGAAACAGTTTATTAACGCTTAAATTAACCTAAAGTGTAGAAACCTGCCGGCTAAACATGTTCACTTTTATTATTCTGGTGCCTGCAGTTTGGATGATATAAATGAAAAACACTAACATCTACTTCCAGCTGCCGTGAACAGTAGTGGAAAACTGCAAAGAGGCGACCGGGCCAGAAGCTGCTGTTGAAGGGGATTCCCAGTAACAGAGCACCGCCGGTATGTGGGGGTCTGAGCTGCTCCGACCGGCTCTAACAGTTTTAGTCCGTGAGGCAGACACCCTGTCTACTTTTAAGGCTAGGCTTAAAACTTTGCTTTTTGATAAAGCTTATAGTTAGAGTGGCTCAGGTTATCCTGAGCTATCTCTATAGTTATGCTGCTATAGGCTTAGACTGCTGGGGGACATAGGGAGCCCTATTTCATCATTCTGCTTCATTCTATCTCTATTCTCCCACTCTGCAGAATCTGTTAGTTCAATCTCTAACGTTCTGCTCTCTCTGCTTTTTCTCATAGTAGCTTCATCTGGTCTGTTCCTGTTTGGCTGTGACTCCATCCTGGAGAGAAATATCAGCTGGGCTGCTGCCATCAACACCTTTGTTTCTAGATGGTGGAGATCGGCCTGTTTTTCCAGTGTAGTCCTGTTTCTCTGACTGTGACTAACTGGATGTGCTCTCTTCATCCTCTGGCATGGGAGCTGGCTCTGAGCTCGTCTGCCTGGCTGTGTGTTTCCTGGATGGGGCCGCCTTTTACAGCTGCTTTTTCTATGTCTGCTTCTGTCTCCTTGAACCCCAGTCGGCCTCAGCAGATGGTCGCTCATACTGAGCCTGGTTCTGCTGGAGGTTTCTTCCTGTTCAAAGGGAGTTTTTCCTCTCCACTGTCGCTACAAGCATGCTTAGTGTGAGGGATTGCATTTAAGTCAATGAGTCGATGCAATCAGCTGGTTTTCCTTAGATAGAAAACTTTGTATCAATCTGACTGGATGATCTGGTAAACTGTAAAGTGCCTTGAGACGACATGAGTTGTGAATTGGCGCTATAGAAATAAACTGAACTGACAGCAAAATAATATTTGAAGGCAGGATGGTAATCTGGATGAACTGACTGCACAGATGAAGTTTTCTGGTGGACTTTTTCCACTTAAAAACATATTAAAAATACTTTTTACTCACTGATCGCAGCAAATATAGCTGCCATGGTTACAGGCAAAGAAAGGATGGGGTAGCTCCTCCCAACGCGCATCAGACCCACTTTTCCACTGCTCAGCTGGAGCAGCAAAGAAGCTTCAGCCGCTCATCAGAACTAAACTTCTACAGGCATCAAAAATGAAGCAGAACTCACTTTTTTGATGCTCCTGCTGCTAGCGGTGCGAACGTAGCATAACAGCATAGATTTGTAGCTATACCCTGCGAGTCGCCTGCACAGTCAGACCTTAAGATCTTAACCCCCTTATGAACATAAACATTAATGCCTCCAACATTTCTGATATAATTATATTAAACTGCTACATTTGTAAACAGTTCCTGTTTCTTCCCTGCCAAACAGGATCTTATATATGTCTAATATTAGAACCTTAACTTTAATTAGGTGCAGTGTATTATGCATCTAGTGTAAAGCGGCATGCATGCATGGATGCACGGTCACTTTACTGCACATTATGCATCTGCTGTGTTTTCCTCTTTGTAGAGGAAATTCAAAATAAACTTTTGCATGAAGTTGTCAGATTTGAGAAACACTTGAAATTATTTGTTCTAAAAAGAAAAGAAAAACTATAAATCTAAAAAAAACCTTAGAATCATTAATAAAGCGACAGTATTACATCAGATTAATGAAGGGGAAACTCAGAGTAAAACCAGTACTAAACTGGGTTTGTTCTGAAAGGAAACCCTGTGAAAACATCTGAGAGGTCTGAGCAGGATTAATGCGACACTTTCCCACACACACACACTGAAGACGCTGTAGTCCGGTGATTCCAGTTTGTTAATCCAGCCTCTCTGGGATTGGGCTTTTATTATGCTGAGTGCTGCGTTGAGTCTGGTGACTCCAGCTGTTATGGACTGGAGCTCTTAAATGCAGCGTAACACTAACCCGACCCAGAAAGCCTGGTGCTCCGGACACGTGCCGCTCACACACACACATACAGCCACAAACTCCAAATCTAAATACCCTCAGCATGTGTGTGAAGCTGACTCACCTTCTTCACCTGCGCCTCCTTGATCTTCTCCAAAGCCACCCGGATATTCTCCGCTTTTAGCTTGGCAGCCTGCTCCTCCTGAACACAAACACAGGATGACATGTGAGGAAAAAGCAAACAAACTTCTCTCCCGGAGGTGTGACTCCTGCTAACCTACCTGATTCCTCCAACAGGAACTCATTGTGAATCAGCAGAGTTCAGATTTACACTAAAACGCCTTGTGTGTCTCTGCTTCAGATCAATTTAAAAAGTAGTAAAACATGGAGTGAGAGTGTGACAGATCTGTAAGCCTGCCCAGGAACTGTGCTTCATCCTACAGGGTTTGTAGCCTGATCCTAGCTTCCTGACCCGGTAAAGGTTAGTCCCAGAACACGCTTCCACTGCCCAGAGAGTTCAAACATCCCACTGCTGCTTCGCTACCGTTTCCCCTCCTTCTGCACCCTTTCACCATCATCACCATCTCCGTGTTTTCACAGGGAAGACATTGGATTAACGCATGAATGCAGCGGCTTCACCGTGATCCCACTGAAGGAGGATTAACCCAACGGATGGTGCATGCGCCTCAGCCGGGCTCCCTGCCTCCACAGCAGCACGACACTCCAGCCTCCTGCCTTAGAATAAGAGGGAAGAGGACGATCAGGTGCCAAACCGTGGCAAAGCAGAGGAACCAAACAGCCGAGGATCCCACTCCGCTCCCCTGGTTCTCCACCCATCTGTGTTAGAGCGTCGCAGCTACTCGCGTCCTCCCTGGCCTACTGAGACGGACGGAGTGAGAGGATGAGCCAGGAGGGCTGGTGGTAGGGGGAGGGGCAGTGAGGCTGTGCCACATTGCATGCAAGGATCTGTTTAGATTACGCTGCCATGCCCCTTCCTCTCATTTTCTAAAATGTTTCTTCCTCTAAGCAAAAGCCCCAACTCTAACATTTTTTAATCTGTAAAGGAAAGATGGCCGTTTACCTGTCCTGCAGAGACAGACTGCAGGAGGGACCTCACCTTGATGCTGTGGATCTGTGGAAGTGCAACATTAAAGCCAGAATAAGGCTGGAGTTTCACTTCCATAGAGTCACACAGAATATGGAGGATTTTATTCAGTTGTGGGATTTTAGCTAAATTTAATGTACTGTTACAGATAAAGGAGATTTACAATATAACAAGGTCCTCAATTAAAGTCGTATGGGAATGGTTGGATTGTTTTGGTGGAAGGTTTGCAAGCAAGTTTGGTTGTGGCCGGTTTATCGGAAACATCCTGCTAACCAGTTAGCAACTTAGTGCTAGTAGGTTCCCAATGGGAAATTCCATTGGGACCAAGTAGCACTAAATTGGTGACTTAGAAACGACGCTGTCAAGGAACGCTATGGACAGCGGAAACATGCAAGAGGAGGAGAGTTTAGTGTCGGAGGTCGTGGATGAGTCTCCTCCGTCATCCATTTTTTATTTAGAGGAGGAAAGAGGGGACCAAGATGTTGTGGAAGAGGACGCCAGGGCGGCAGAAGCTTGGTTTGGTGTAGAAGGCTTCCAGCCGTACATGTTTGAGCCCTTGCCTCGCAACGCTGCCAGTTCTGTTAGCTCTACGCCTGCGAAGACACAGACGTCCATCCCCGTGAACACTGGGACGCAACTCAATGGGAAAGGAAAGGATTCTGATTTCAACCATTCCGTATATTAGCTGCGACGTATGAATCCAGATGCTATGACCGAAAAAATTTGATTGACAGATGACCGTTGATATATGATTGGCCGAATGTAGGTGTTCAGGCTGACGTGTAACTAACTGGGCAGCATAAGATAACGAAAAAAAAACACAGATAGTAAGACAGGATTATTTTTAAAAATAGAAAAAAAAATTGCGACAATATGGTCTGATAAAGAGTACATTTATATACATCTTTAAGCCAGGATGATTTAACATTTAAATATGGTTTCCCTACGACTTTAATGATTTTTAACTGACACTTGTTTTACATCAATAACTGATTCTATTGTTTGAATTGTGTAAAAAAAGTCAACAAAGTATTTTCTGTCTTCAACTCTTCCCCAACTGCCCCCCCTCTTTGTCTTCTCATTCTCACTATTCAATCCAGCTCAGAAGACAAATACCGTCCATCTGTTTTTCAAATCAAGCTCACAGAAACTTAAGAGGGTCCATATTGAGACCGAGTGAAAGGGCGTGAGCGCAAGATGATGAGGATGATAAGATAATTGGCTAATCTCCTTATCAACATCCCACTACCATCAACTAAAACCACACACCACACACACGGCAGCAGCAGAATTAAGCTCATAAACAGCTTGTTAATGACAGCAAATGCTTGGTTTACTGCCCAAGTATCTCTGTTATCAACAACAAGGACCCTTCTAATCCGGCGGCAACAAGTCTACATTAATGTACTTCACAAAAATATATCAGGATGACATGTGGGTCAAAATCCAATCCAAAGAAGCTTTCAACAACGACAGCAACTCACTGGACGCAAACCAGAAGTTCACTAATCAGGATGCCAAGAATATAGGTTTATCAGAAAGTGTTGCGCCAATTTTTTGGCCCCGATACTGATACCCGATACCTGGCTGTGTAGTATCGGCCAATACCGATACCATCAGTTTGAAATTGATGTGTGTCTATATGAAGAACTGCATACAACTAAATAATTGCCATCATGGTTTGTCAAGCAGCTTCCTACCTTTGTGAAGCAGGAAAAAGACTAACACAAAGTGAATCCAGTAGAACTTTTTATTGCCTTCCTGGAATGGGTGACAATAGCTTTTTGCTCTCAAAATGGTATCGGTGCCCTATTTGTTGGTACTCGCCGATACCTATACCACCATTTTATTGCTGGATCGGTGCCCCGCCTGATACTGGTATTGGTGCAACACTACCTGAAACCTACACATAAAGTCCATTATCTGCATTCTGACCCACTGGAACACCAACATTCTGTTATTAAAACTCTTATTTACCAGACTGACAATATTCCCTCCGTCACAGAGGAGAAGGAAACAAACGCAACAATGTTAGGAAATCACTCAATGTCTGCGCTTATTTAAACTGCTTCAAACAATAAGGAGAAAACAGAGATGTAAAAAGATTGTAATTCCACATGTCAGGAGTTTTTGAGAAACCTTTTCTATAAATATAACGTACTCGTGAATTTCAAACCCAACAACAAACTCAGACAAAAACTGGTTTATCCTAAAGACAGAACAAGCAGACCTAAGCTGAGTCGCTTTTGTGGTCCGATACAGAGACGACTGGGCAGCCTCTAATATTGGAGAAACCAAAGAACAAATACCCAAACACATAGAGCAGCACAGAGAAGCCAGTAAGTCTGTGCAAGATTCAGCTGAACAGAGAGATTTTGGACAGATGGTTTGAAAGAGGGCTGAAGGCAGCCATCTTTGTTAAAAGGTAAAAGCCATCACTGAACAGAAGGTAAGGACTATGGGTTCAGATTTCAATCCAAACTTTGGTCCTAGAACTTGCTCTGAATACGCTATACAAGCACTCGTCACATTTTTAATGGTCAAATACAAAATCGTACACATATTAAATATGTGTACGTAATACATATTACGTGTTTTTTCTGTGGCCAGAAGTTCGATGGCAAATCCTGCCTCTTGAAGTTGGCAATCCAAGCATGCTTAGTGTGAAGGATTCCCTTCGAGTCAATGAGTCGATGCAATCAACTGGTTTTCCTTAGATAGAAAACTTTGAATCAGTCTGACTGTTTGATCTGGTTAAACTGTATCTGTAAAGTTCCTTGAGATGAAATGTGTTGTGAATCGGCACTATATAAATACTGAGTTGAAATCTTAGAAACATTTTTTTCCGACTTAAAATAAAATGAGGTCTTCCACATGTTGTTCATTGTATTTATTTATTTACGCAGCCTGCCATGGCTTTCATTATCTCCAGCTGCATCCCAGATATTTAGCTGACCTACATTATGAAGCCGCTAAAATTAGATTCTGCCCAACAAACATTCAGCTGCCTTTTGAAGTCAGGAGGAATTTGTCCCTCTCCAACTGCTGTAGGCTGAAAAGCGAACCGGCTGATGTGAATCATTGTACGTAGCAGAAGCATAAGTAGGCCAGTGGTGTGTGTGTGTGTGGACTACAATCGCTGCAGAGGCGCTGTAACACTGACACAGAAAGAGTGTTATTTGTGGAGCTACACACACACAGCAGCAACCTGAAGTCTCACTAATGAGAGCAGATAATTACACCATCAGCCTAATCGCGGCTGCAGGAATTAGACCAGCCCAGAAGCTCATAATCTGCCTGCAATCTCGAGTTCCATACTAGCCTCGCCCCAATCATGGACCATAAATTGAAACAAAAATATGTTTTTTGCTTCGACTCATGATTTTCTCTCAGCCCTCTGAGTGAAGGACTCAGAATAACGGAGGCATGAAGTTCTATGAGACGGCGATGTGATCCACAGCAGCTAAAGCTGGTTTATAAAGCAAATGGATCTTAGAGGGAACATCATTAAACAAATAAATATACTATTAAATGTAACATCAAATAATGAAATGCACTATTTGGTTATTCAATACATTCTTAACGAATTAAATGTAATTTTAAAGTATGAAATATACATTAAATTATTAAATATCCCAATAAGTAATTAAATATAAATTTCATATTATGACATCAAATTACGATCGGGATTTTTCAAAAGTAAACTAATTTATTTTGAGGAATTATTTCACTTTTTAATTATTTCATAGCGTTGGCAGACTCATTAAATCATTTTAACTGTCAGCTTCACCCATTAACCTCCATGGGCGGGACTAAAGCGACATCCATAGAGACCCTCACGTCTGATTGGCTGCTTCTCATTGAGCATGACAGTTTTTATAGACATAACTAGAGACATAAAACCTGGAATTTCTCACAATATGCTGCGAATAAATGACATGTTTTTAAAGGTATTTCCACCAAAGTCAACAATAATGTATAAAATATACAAATATACACATGTGCCACTGCCAGGGGGTGTTACAATAAAAAAGTACACTCAGGAGTTGATATGGTGTTTTTGTGCCATTAGGTGAGAGGAAGATTTAATACCGTAG